AGACTATTTTGAAAAAGGCTTCTTTTCTATAATGTGACCTCGCAGTTCAACTTTTAGTAGTATAAGTCGTTGTTCTTCAAGCCGTGTTCACCACTGGCTGTAGTCTGTATGATGTTGTTTTGAATATTTCCCGTAAACAGGTAAGCGCTATTTACATGTAACACGTGCCTGATGACCACTGTGCAGTCCATGCTATCCACCCCTTGAATTAACCAGTCAGCCTAGAGCACACACTTCTCCACTTGCCGACTATCTTCTAAGAATATCTTTCGCCTGATTCCTTCCTGAATTCTGGTTTGAATGGGTTTTTGATCCTCGAATACAGGGGCGCTATCAACGATGGCCTTACTACTGTGGCAGGGAACAGACCAGCCCCAGGTGAATAAAAAATGAGGAAAAGACACTGGAGGTGGGTGTACCGCAATTTTTAGGGCCAAAATATAGGCCACAACTCGGAATCCTTGAGACAAAAGGTCGGGATGCTGATCAAAGAAACATTGCCCCCGAGATTCGAAGTCAGGCACCAAAATATTTCTTTGTGCTTGGGAATAATAGGAGGGCAAAGTTTGAAACGAAGGTTGTGGGAGGTCCGTCGTCGACATTCCATGCCGATATTTAATGTGATGGATTGCGTTGGTCAGCCTCACTGACGTGCTCCATCTGTATAACTTGTCTTTACAGACACTAAATATATTATTCTACCTCTAACGTGTGTCCTCTACAAGCGCCAAAAATTATATCGCGGATTGTTACAATTCGACGAGTCGGGGTAGTCGATGATGTGACTTCCATGTAGGATCCTGTAGATTAGATTTTCACAACATGACATATCTACAATTTTAAGGTTAGGCCTATTATTATAATGGTCCTTGTAACGAACTAGACTACAATCCTACACCTTAACGAGGATCGGTAGACTGTTCGAGATCTGGTGACTTACCTGACAGATGATTTGGCTAGGGACGAATAACTCCTAACTGGCCCTACACACCTATATGGATGATAAATGACTGACATAGTGATGCTTTGATGACTGAGAACTTGGTAAGAATTACATAGTGCTTTCGTAAAATATTAAAATCATACACTAAATACACTATTTGCACACTTTCTTTCAGTTTCCAGTACATACTTCTTCATTCCTCAAATTCGTTTGGTATTCCAACTCCTTTCTGTTTCTTTTTGTCATCTTCAATTCGATCTTCACACACTTCTCGTAGGCACTCCACTTCCAACTGGTGCCACATACTACCTATATTTATCAACGTTAGGAGCCTACACCATTTTTGGCATCGTGTATCCTGGCATCAAGCATGAAACTGCAGAAATGTTGAGTAGGAGACCTTCCGGAATTTATTATGCTTGTTCTTTAAAAATTCTGATAGTTGCATACTAGAATTTAAAAGCCTTTTTACGCCTTAGGAAACTGTTTGAGCATTGTGAACTAGTCATGTGGTCAGCGTGATGTCACTCGTAATGATGAAGACAGCAAGCGAGAAATATATGGAAAAATAAAAACAATATCACGGTATGTAAAAACAAAAAATTAAAAACGATACATAATGTTCCTACAAGGGACAGGCTCACAGTTTACGGATGGGTGTACCAGATCACGTTGGGCTCACCACTAAGGATGCCACGGGTATTCGGATTTTGACGACCCAGTCACCGGTAACACCTCTATTATCGAAGTAATCCAATTCAGTCAAATCAAAGATTAGAGGTGAAGAGGTCCGAAGTTATATCTGACAGGCTATTGACATCTTGAGAGGCCACTGGTCTAAACTGGCTAACGGTTGTAAGAGATGGACAACACGACGTACCCACTAGTGATCTGATGTGTGTGCATTATGAGGCGCCTTCAGATAGGTGAGTCCAATAAAACTAACGCAGTCAGCATCAAGTGCCGAAGACTTACAGATCTATTTATTTAAGGATTTATTTACCACTGCAGACTGAAGATGCCATAGGTATTAGGAGTTTGACAACGATTTAACCAATAATACCTAATATGAATCGTACCTACCAAGTGAAATCAAAAAACAGAAGCGAGGAGGTTCGAAGATATATTTGATAGGCTATCAGTATATCGAGGATCGTCTGATCTAGTCTGGCTAGCGATTGTAGGGGTTATTGAGCACGGCGTTCTCACTCGTGATCTGGTGCGGATGCATGAACGAGCGCCTTCAACTAGGTGAGTCCATTACAACTAATGTGGTCTGCATCCAATATCGAAGACTTACAGAGCGATACAGATTGCTCCTCTCCTAGTGGAGAAGTAATGACCCTAAGACGTGGACAGCCGGAAGTTTAAACCCAACGAGTTTTGTCGTCGGAAAACACTCTTCTGATAGCTTGCTAGGTTTAGCAGCGTCTGGTGGTCTTTCCTTACCATAAGGGACCATGAAGTACAATATGGTAAGAAAATAATGTACAAAGAAAATTTTGGTTCCTCGTAAACCTCATCGTTCTTTCTATCGTCTTTTCCAGCCATCCTGGAAAAGAAAAACAGAATACGTAGTTTCATGTCGAAATACATTCGTACTCGCGTAAAAACACAATGCGGGTGAATAGAAGGAAAATAAACCCATGCACACGTAACAGCGTAAAAAGGATTTATACAAAATGGTTTTTAGTTTTTGTTTTGTTTCGGAATAAATTTATGAATATATAAGCATATTAAAACTGTTTTTTATATTATATAGTACAAAGAAAAATCGAGATATAAAATGTCAACTAGCGTTTTACGTGCAATAAACGTTCAAATGGTCTGTTAACCTTACTCTTCTTCTAGAACTCGTTGTTTTATGTTTATTTTCGGATACTGTCGAAGTATCATCATGCATGATGGCTGTCAGATGAGGTATTATACGTGTAGGAGCCGTGTCGTCCGATTGTACTGAAGGAAAATCGACGTAGATAGGAGTTCCTTCTAAACACGCTGCTTTGAGGCGATCGATGCTGTTGTTGGTTCCGCTCTTATCGATTACATAGTACTTAGGTTCGCGTTGAAGAACTTTGAAGGATCCTTCGTATGCTGATTCGATAGGTTGTCGATGTGAGTCTCGATGAATGAAAACGTGTGTACTATGTCGTAAGTCGGGTTGAACGAAAACATCAGTTGATTGCGGTCGAGTGGAAACAGCTTTAACCCAACGCATTGCGTCTGTAAGCCTGTTCATGTAGGAGGTTATATCCATGTTCATTGAAGAGGATGAAGGATCCACGAATTCTCTTGGAAGTCGAAGTGTCGTTCCATAAACGAGTTGAGCTGCAGTGTATCCAATGTCAGCTTTGACTGTATTGCGAATACCTAGTAAGACGAGTGGAAGCGCGTCGGTCCAACGTGAAACGTTCGCAGCTGATAGTGAAGCTCTTAGTTGTCGGTGACAACATTCTACCCACTCGTTTGCTTGTGGGTGGCAGGTGGTCGTTCGGAAACGTGTGATTCCTAAAAGTGGTCAGACGACGGAAAAGTATGGATTCGAACTGACGTCCGCGGTCTGTAGTGATGGTTGAAGGGCGGCGGAAGTTTTCTACCCATCGTCCGACGAAGGCCAATGTTTCAGCAGGGATGTCCTTGATAGGTACTGCTTCTGGCCATCGAATGAAACGGTCCACGCAAGTTAAAAGAAAAGAGTATCTATTTGAATCTTGTAAAGGTCCTACAAAATCCAGATGAGCATGTTCGAAACGAGTTTTGAAAGATTCTAAGGGACATTTATTGTGTCTGATAACCTTAGATTTTTGGCAGCTTACACAGGAGCGTGCCAACTTCCTCACGTCTTTATTCATGCCAGGCCAGTGAAACCGTTCTGCTATAAGTTTGATGGTTTCACGAACACCTGGATGGGAAAGTTTATGCAACGTATTGAAGACATTGAGTCGATAACGCTTCGGCACGATTGGGCGGTCCCTACCCGTAGATGTGTCACACAGTAGGGTTTTCTTACCTGCTCCCATCTGTTTGATGCGTAGCTTGATGGTTGTAGACGATAACTCGTGCTGAAGATCAGTGTCTTCCTGCAAGGAAGTTATTCGGTCAAGGCGTCTGCAACTACTTTGTTTGCTCCAGAAATGTGTTGGATGAGTAGTTATTCATTATTTACGGAGTTGTTTACCTATTGTTGTAAGACTCCTCCGATTGCTGAGTCGGATGCATCTACTGCGATACTAATGGGTGCTTCAGTGTCCTAACGAGCAAGCATTGTTGCCTGAGCGATAAGTTCCTTAACCGTGGAGAATGCTTTTCGCACGGTGTCGTCCAAATTGATGGATTTCGCATTTCCACGAAGTTGGTCTGTAAGAGGTTTCATAAGTAACGCGCATTTCGGTATGAATTATCTATAGAAACTTACCAGGCCGTTAAACGTGCGTAATTGCTTGATGGTGGTCGGTCCTGGGTAATCCAGAATGGTCGCTACTTTGCTTCTAAGGGTCGAATGCCTTGCGCATCTATAGTGTGTCCTAGGAAGTCTAATGAGTCAGTTCCGATTTGGCATTTCTGAATGCTTACAGTAATGCCATGTTTTCGTAGTCGTTCAAAAACAAGATCCGGTTGGTGGAGATACGATTCTCTGTCCGGAATCGCTATTAGACAGTCGTCAACATACGCATGTACGAAGTTGAGACCTCGAAAAACGTCGTCTTTGAACCTTTGAAGTGTTTGAGCAGCGTTTCTTAGACCGAAGGACATTCGCAAAAATTTGTGGAGTTCAAAGGGAGTTATGGTAGCTGTTTTCGGTATATCGTCTATAGTCATAGGGATTTGGTTTTACACTTTAACCAAGTCGATTTTCGAAAAGACAGTTGTACCATTCATTGACTGAAAAAACCTCAGTATTAGAAGATTTCGTGATTTATAAGATGAGTTCGGCAGGTGCAGCCAGCATGTTTATGGCGTTGTTTTGAGACGAGACCAGTATAGCTTGCACCTGTTGAGGGAGTTTGGGTAAGAAAAGTTGTTTGAATAGGCCACCATCGAAGGTTCTTTGGCCGATGACCAGTTAGGTCTCCGTGCTTAAGGATAAACCGTTGAAGTGTTTCGTAAGGTTCCCAAGCCTTGTTTAGGTCATTCTCAGCGTTAGGCTATCAGCCCTTGGTTTTGGTTACCAGATAGTCTTAATTTTACTCTTTTGTTATTGTTGACTTTCGTTGGTTGCTTAGATTGTTAGATATAAGTGCATTCCATGTGTTTGCTATCTGGGTTTATTTTTTTTCATTTTATTTACGGTTTTCCCTACTCCTGTTCACGCCCCATCAGCACACGAAATAAATTCAAACTAAACGCGGAGTGCAATGTCATTTCCTCCCTATTTTGCTATCCAGGACTTCGAAGTTCATTTTTTTTCGTGACTCAGCTGAGCTGTGTACGACTAAGTTGAATCGAGTTTTTTTTACTTTTTACTTGACTAGAAGTTTCGATGTAATTGAAGACTGTCAGGCTTTTTTTACTGTTGAAGTGACTTCACTCTCAGTACTGAGAGTGATTACGTCTACATTTGCACATACTTTCTAAAATTTTAGCTGTAATATGCCTCGTTTTAGCAATCCTCTAAAAAATTGCTGTTATTTGTAAAGGCGATTTCGTGGAAAATGTGATTCTTCCATGGGGAGTTTAAAGATATTGGTATGAAGTTTACGGAATTTGCATTCTGTGAATATTTAGTATCATTTTTGTAAAAGAGCTTTAAGTACATGAGGATTCTGACTTTTTGTCTGATTTTCACCAAAATTTGTGCAAATCTGTGATTGTTTTCTTGAAAACCTCCATAAAACTGGTCAATTTTCTTGACAGTAATAAGAATGGTAGCTCGGTATTTTCGTTGGCCATTGCAGTATGTATTTCTCTCCTGATGATATGCACTGAATGTAGGATTGCTTGTATATAGGATTCCAGTCTTTGACTGCTCAGTGAAGTGACGGTTACTCAAAATTGGATTTATCTGACCATGTTTTTGATCTTTTTTTGATGGCTTCGGGGATGATAAATTTTAGAGACACTCAAAGGATACAAAATGTCAGTACTCAAGTCATTATTCAAAGTCCACAGCGTTAGTAGGAGATTGTCCCGAGTCCTATAATAATAAGATCGATCTATGTGTATAGTCGCTCCTCAAATGATATATTAAGGAGTCCTGTATGAATTCCCACACTACTGTCTCAGGTAGCTCTTGCGTAAAGCTGTAACTAAAAGTAGATTAACTATTTATTTGCAGTACTCTTTGTGAATTTTCGCGTGGGTGGCATCTGTGGTGTACAACAAATCTGTACAGGACCAGCCTATGTGACCTTCACGACTTCTTGGTTGGGGTCCGGAAGATAGTGTTACACAGTGGCTTGTAAGGTTAGAAATAGGTTGAAATAAATCCAGTGCTAATGATGCTGTAATTTTCTTTTGCTTTTATAAATGTGAGAGGTGCTACTTTAACTGAAAAGATTCTTTCTGATATTTTCTCAATTGAACTGCTCCTCCCATCATTTTTGACTTATTTACCTATTTTTGTCCATTTATTGTTTTTTTCCAAATTATCACCATTCTCCTTTTTCTATCTCCTCACAATCTTATTTTCTTATTATTTGGAGCATATTTAGTTTTCTGGCTTTTTGCACCAATATTTATGTGCTTAAATAAATAACTAAACGCACATATGTGGAAATAACCTAAAATAAAATCTCACTGTGTTATTTAAAAGCGAGACTTTCTTACATATTATGAATTACTATTAAAACACGTTTTTTCCAAAGATTGTAACAGTGGTGTCTTAGTAATAATGTGCTAGTGTTTGATGTCTAAGTCTAAACAAATGACAAATGCCATTCCTTATTCCTTTACGTTCTTTATTATATTTTTGGACTGGTGTGACGTCATTTCTTCCTAACTGAGACATGAACTTGTTTTTATTTGTCCCAAGAGCTATAGTAATGCTCTCAGAATTATAGGATCAATAGTCCAAAGTATTTCCCTAATTTTACGTTAAAACCCCATTATTTACTACGCAATTTTCGATTTTTGTCTGGATTGAGTAGTTGTTTTCTTTAAAAGGGGAAGATTGCAAGTAACGTTTTGCTAGGTTCATTTCCATATCCAAGATGTAATACCTGGATTCAGTGCTAAATGTAACGAATTTCTGTTTTGGACAGCCTTTAATCGGCTTATGAGGTTTTGAAATAAAAATAATTCTTTTGACTCTGAAGATCCAAACCGTATTTGTAACCACAGTGACAGGTTGAAATTAAAATCCATTGTTAGGGATCCCAAAACCAGCAAATTAGCCCAAATGATAAGTCCACTTTAAATTCAACGAAGCCCATAATCTGTTACAACAAAATCACAACTTTTTGTACAGTATAGTGATCCTTTGCGATAAATTGGAGAGGTAGGACTTTCTTGTTTTTCTTAGCTCTTAATGATTTGACAGTCATTTATCGATAGGCGTTTATGGAATTTCACCATCGAGCTTTTATGATAAATTGAGTAAGGCCAATTGTTATTCCACTTGACATTTTTAAGCTCTAATGCAGGTTTTTGGTTTTTATGCTTGTAACTAGTGTGTACGCGATGTAATTCTGAAAGTGAAGATTCATCTCATTATTCTTGCTAGTTTCTCTCAAAGCACTTTTTTATATAATATTGTAGCTTTTGATTTTTAATTTTAAAGATCGATTCCAGTGATATGACTCATCCTGGTTTATCCATCATCAAGTTACCAACTACAGATCTTGTATCAGGTAACAACTCGACAGAAAGTGCGGGAGAAAAAGTCGCTCAGCGTGTCGTGTTATTTCCAAAACAAAGTAACTCAGGAAGCCAACTTATTTGGCGTGGCGCTTGTTTGCAAAGTATTTTGAGTGATGTGCCAAGTCAAAATACTCAGTCCAGTGTTGGACAGCTAGGTAACAACTTTGGAGAAACCTTACAAAGAAAGATAGTCAACATAAACCCGTTTGAAGATAAACCTTTATCTTTGTCATTGACGTCGGTTTGGAATCAAAATCAACAAGATGCTACTAGCGATGGGATTTGTCCCCTGAATTCAAAAAACAAAAACTTGAAGAGACCTAGGAATGAATCCAATCCTAATAATCCTGAGGGTAACAGTGATTCATCTGAAGAAAAATCACCTACAAAAGTCCGAGCAACCAAACCTCGCATTCGGTCACAAACGAAACGTTCAGGTATACTACTGTTGGTGTTAGTAAAATATAAACCTCATCGAATTGTATTTTATTGTTGTTGATTATAGCTTCACTTTAACCAGAAAACATATATCATTGTGGAGAGTAAATTGCTGTATGCTGAGTTGCTATTGGTGTATTATTACAGTGTTGTAGTTACTGAACGATAGTGAAGGGACAAACAGCACGGTAAAGAGTTTAAAATATAAAACCCACAAAATAGTCGAATAGGTTTTAATTATTTTAAAATTGTCACTCACCCACTGTTTAATTAGGCACAATTTTGCGTCATCGATCTCAGTTTCTACATTTTGAACCACTATAATGAGTTAAAAAGTTAGCAAAATAGGAATCATAGGAAGAGAAACGTATTTCAAAAAGAACAAACATTAAAACTTACTCATGAGGAATAAAATAGTTTGATAGGAAAGTACAGATCTTTGTTTACGGTAGTTACATCTAGTATCAAACGATACACAAAAAGCTTATGTAGTAGTTCTATCGTTGTTTGTTTTGGATGTAATATCGTATACTCGTAAACTTGAATTAACAGGTAAATTAGAGTACCACATTAATCAAAGTAGTGGATTAGTGGGTTATTTGTTAAACCATGCGACTCAGTCAATAGTCTACAGGTTTGTACTCCTCCCTACCTACTTTGGTTTGGTAAGACAGGCAGTATCACTTGTGCTGAGCACAAAATCCTGTAATTGGCAAATCAGTCACATTAGTAATTAAATAAGGGAACGTTTACTAATAATATATACGCGTAACTTGAACAGTGAACAGTCTTAGCTAAATTCATCTGTTATTTATTCGGCTTCAAATATTTAAATGATAAGCTCGAACGCTACATTTGGCCTCAAAATAGTTAAACTACTCCTCACGCTGATGGATAAGCATAAATGCGTAATTGCGTATTGGGTGATAACTATCCACATTGACCGAAGTTCAATATTGTTGAGTAGCTATAAAAATAAAACTTAGTAATCGTGGTATTCACCATATAAAAATCAGAAGCAAGATTTTACCGAATACGAGTGATAACTCTAACGACAATTCCAATACAGTAAACAACTGCTCTCTTCTAACTTAGCTACTCTAAAAGACAAATTTTGTTAAGATTTGTTGAAAGAAACCAAAGTAAATTATGATTTACATCCAAGTTGGCTCAGTTATATATCAATTAAGTGAGTATTAATTACCGAATCTTTTTAACAGAGTAATTGCCACCGAATACAAAATCTTATTAAAGTAATCAATACAAGAATCAAACAAGTAACTACAACTAGAAGCTAATGAATACAATTCACTCGGAATAGTGTAGTACAACGAAAATGTGTTGAAACTAATTCAGTGCAGATCACCTTAAATCAAAGTGCGAAATGAAGATTGATCTTCTTATACGTTGTATTTGAGGATATAGCATCCTAAACGCAAGGTATTTAAACTTGAAGTATGGTCGTTGTCACACTTACAGGGTTTATTTCCAGTTGCTTTTCCTATATTTTAAGTAAGGAATGGGGTAATACACAGTCGTCTATAGGAAGATAATTATCCTGAAATCCTGACCCAATATTCCAGTTCAGAAGTTGCACTTATATAGTAACTGGTAATCCATATCAATTATGGTCAAAAGTGTGTAAACAGGGCCATTAGTACTTAAGCTTTTCTTCACTTGAGGCAACAGCTTTAAATAGTATATTGAATAAATTTGTGTACTTCATTTTGAGAAATAGATTTACTAAATGATATCAATGATTGTTTTCTGAATTTTGATATCTTTTTAATTTTATTGCTTTATAATTCTAGGGCGGCGAAATGCTCCAAAAGTAAGTCAGGTAAAATGTTTGCATGTATCACACTACCAAGGATCTTAATTCATTAGTTAAATTAGTTATCTAAAAATACTTTTTCTACCTAACTTCAGTATATTTTGTATTTCTCGGAAGCCATTTCTGCTGAGACTGTCATTTTAAAAATGTATATGTCAGTTTTGAGTTTATTTCATGATTCGAAATTTATTTTTGGGAAATGGGTACCACTTTATCGCATAGAAGGCTGGTTAGAAATTTTAACTGATGTGGCTGAAATCAACATTCCAGTTGTGTCGCTTCATCAATTTTAGCTATTTCTGTTAAATTTGGGTCGTCTTTTTGCACTCTTACTTTCTTGTTTCAGTTACTGTTAACTTTTAAAAGGTTGTGGTACCTAGTAATTGGATACTTTTGAAAATTATTAGTATTGAAGAGTAGAAAGCTCTATGTGACAAACTACCTGTTGGTACATAGGATCAGGTAGAGTGGCTTAACAATGAAAACACTTGAATTCCAACCATTGGATAAAGAATTTAAAGCCATTTGGTGTTTTAGGGTCTAAAAAGCCTCCTTTCAATGTTTTACACCGAGGTCTAATGGATTAGTTTGTTTGTGGTCTTTTATTTTGATTTCAGTATTTATGCTTTTTTCTGTTTTAATTTTATCTCAAGGGAAATCTTTCACTATTGTGCGAGAATGATATTTCATTATTTGATACTTACATATGAGCCAAATATGCTCATTATCCTTGGGATGAGTATGTTGGCTTCTGTTATGCTCCTCCGTTTATCAGTTATTCAATGTTTTATAGACAGTAAAGTGTTGAGTATTTTTTTCAGGTTTACTAGTACTCTATTGACTTTAATGGATTTCAGTACAAAAACTAGTGTATATTGTTGTAACAATAAACACGTTGACATTCAGCTTTTTGTATGCAGAAATGTTTTGTTGGATTAGTGATCAGGATTTGTATAACTGTATTGTATGGTATAAATATATCAATTGTGTGGTGTAACTCTTTGTATATGAATAGAAGCAGTACATAAGATATTCATTTTTACGTTTTAAAATTCAGTTAATCATTTATGATCAGCGCCGGATCTAATGCAAAAGTACATTAGCCCAAATTTCTACCAAATGGCGAGATGAAATTAATGGGATAATTAGCATTGAGGTCGACACAATCCTAGTGTTGGTCAGTCATAAGCAACGTGGAACCTGCTACATTTGTGGATCGGTCGAAATCAGTCATAAAGGGAAAGACTAAACTTGAAGAACATAGTCTAGACAAAGGTATAAAACAGGGGAATAATAAATATGAAATAATACTAAAACTTAAGATACAGGAGAAGATCACGAATAAATGCGTTTGTGGCATTGTGACTGATTTTGTATCATGTCATAGGGATTATACTGGAATTTCAGTTTCATCGTGGGTGATAAATATCAGTATGACGAACAGTTTACTTAACTAAATATTTTAGCAAATCATAAGCATTTTAGTCTTATATGCTTAATATGGTTATTTTTAAACATATTTCATGAGTCATTAATCTTTTTAACGGCATTATCTGTTTTATTTAGCCTGTACAACAACCCCTTCTTCTAACCTTGCGACCTTTTCATCCACCTGGAAACTTATTACTTCCTGCATTTGATCTAATGTCTAAGTTTGGTAAGTTAACTGATTTATTTGTGAACGTATTTCTTACTTTGTGTAGCTGTTTTTCCCCTTAAATAAATGTTCCAATTAAACTTACTATCTATAGACGATTCAAAAGATTCCATTAATTACAAACCAACTTCGCACAATAGTGTGTTTTGGTTTGGCATGTGTTGAGTGAAGATTCTATGAGTCTTTTTCCTTTTATTCTGAAAAACATTGTTAACCTTGGTCAAGGTTTTTTTAAGTACCTGTGCCAAGTGAGAGAAGTAAAGCTGAATTCCGATTTTCTCAGCTTTTGTGTTATTCATATCTGTCTTCAAAGTTGAGTTTTGTCATCTTAATTACCAGTTGCTAATTGGTGGAACTAAATTGATACAAAATATATAGTTGCATCAAAATGAACACTATTTGATATTTGCATTGTATCTGAATGATAAATGATTTTCGATTCATTAGCTTATGGAAGTTTAAAAGGTCAAAAAGTGTGTATGTACTTGACTGCAATCGCTGAATATATCGCTTGATAAATTATGAATCTTTGTTAAACTATAGTGCAAAACTTGAAAGTAAATCCTGACTCAGTGGTCTGAAAGTGACGCGCTCGCCCTAAGACGTAGTCGGTCTGGGTTCGGCTGTTGGTATGATCATAAATCCTCACTGATGACAAATCTTAAACTAGGAGGAATAAACTACAGTTCTCTTTGTTTTTCCGTAGCCCATTACAAAAAAAAACACATACTTAATTTAATTTCCACAACCAAGCAAATAAACATCAATTATGACGTTCACTACTGCGAACTGAATATGTCGTCCGATGGGACTTGTGGTAAAGCATTATAAGAATCAGGAATTGTATCGTCGATTTTCATTATTAAGTTTGTAAAGTGAGTTAACATATCAAAGTGTATCTTGTTTAAGCATATTGTAGGATTAGTTAGTTTATAGATGCTTATGACTTCAGGTAATATTGAGGCAATTCGCATAGGATGTACGTATGCCAATAAGGGACTGATCAATTGCAGTCCTAAAAATCAATAGGAAGATTTAAATAACTAATACGACATAAAATGCTACATGATTAATTCCCTATTACATTTAATAGCCTATCTACTTAACTAATTTTTAGCTCATATAAATCTTTTTACATGGCTTATTTATGGACTCCTATATTTTATAGAAAAAAGAGTAAACTCAACAGAAATTGTCAAAGTGTGCTTATTTAAACATTTGACTAGTTTTCATGGCTAAAGCATATGAAGTTTCTAGGACTAATAAAAGGTGGAATGTCGGTTTGATCGTTTTTTTCCTATTTAAGAATGTTAAATTTCTGTAACTATAACGGACCTTTGCTATAAATATTAGGAGGTGGTTTAGGGAAATATCAACCAAAATATGAATGTTGCATTTCTTAGGTGAATTCAATTTGTAGTATTTCATTATATATAATTTTGCTCAAACAAAAATACTATATTTGTTTCAGTCACAAACTAATATATGCTAGAAAACATTTTACAAACATACTAGATTGGAAAGTGTAAACTCCAATCTTGCGCATAGTCGGATGTGTAAAATTTCGTACTGGGGTGATTTCTTAATTTTCAATAGTTCTCTACAAAATATCATCCCTTAACGAAAGTTATACCCAAATTAGTCCATTTTCGCATAAGCTACTTCATCAAATACATGTGGAAAATTTAAAATTTGCTTTCGTAATATATATTGCTACAAATATCCTTACCACAATATTGTTGTTTTTCATATTATAACATAGATGGTTTAGTTTCATTTGAAAATGACAAATTAGTAACAAATAATACTTCGAGTAGTTTATCAACTATCAATGAAGAAAATATTGAAGAGACATCAACAACGCTTAATGCTTCTGTATCAACTACCGGTCGGATGAAAAGTAGTGCAGGAATAAATGATATCGACTTTGAGGTTAGTCTTCACTAGTCATCCATTTTTTTCTCTTGGATTTTTATTCATCAAGATTTAAAATATTAGTCATGCTACTTATATTATTATGTTGTAACTTCTTATGAAATTCAGACAGGTTGATTGTGAATATTTGAAAGACAGACATTATTATTGTCTTCGTCATTTGCTTACTTCAGTTCAATCAATTCTTGTTTTTTTATTTGACTAAAAATACTATCGACTAGGTTAACATCTGTAGTTCTGATAGGATTTGCTTATATTTATCAAGAAATGAGTTTGGAATTGAAGCGTTTCTTTGAATTAATATGTAGTTGTTAGACAACTGTCCAGAAAGTTATTGGTGTTTAGTTCCTGGGGCGTTTCGTCACCGTGAAATTATTTTATTTACCCATTTAATACAAAACTTGATACAACTGAACATAATAAAATCTTGGACTGTAAATCTTTTTTTTGTATTACACCTGTCCTTGAATTAACTGAAGATCCCCAATCAACTAATCAGAATTCTATTTTCTATTAGTTATTAGTTTCATCGTGAATGTTTGAAGCTGGAATATGAAATTTCCTCCTTATAAACTAATGTATTAGTTGTACTAACATTTATCATACTATCAAATATGTCTCTATATATATCGCAAGTCGAATGATATTGATTGCATAAATCAGTAGCTAATTCAAAACTGGTGCACTAGTTTTAAACTTGAGAGTTTTTTTTAAATAAAACTAATAGGACGACTTGGTGCTGAGCACTTCAGGAATAAAACTAAAAACTTTTGTATTGCTCGCTAATTTTTTAATCATAGGTTGAAAAAAAACAAATGATAGAAAATGTAATGCAACTGGTTAACAAAGCTTGAGTTTTAGCATCAACCGCAGATTTTTTTCGCCGCCAAAAATACTATTTAGTTGCATGAAACTTAGTTATGTTAAAGAAGATTTGAATTGTAACCCAATGAGTTAAACTGAAGTGGTCACCTGAGAGAATCGCGAATATAAAATTGAAACAAGTTAACAAACTATATCAAATAGATCATTAGTGTTCTTGATAGATTTACAATAACTATGTATTATATATTATTATTATAATTTTATTTTCCTTGAAAAAGCTTGGACCAGATTGCCAGGCGAAACGTTGGATTTACTTAAAATTCATTCGCTGAGATTTTACAAATATATTCTTCTTTTTAACTATGTATTATGTTTTATATTTTGGTCATGTGTATAATTTACTGAATAATTCTAACTTATATATATCCACTATATCAAGGAATTTAAGCATTACAGACGTCTCAATGGGTATTCACTTTTCGTACATGTCAATAAGAAAAAATATGGATCATTTCCAGGCTCGACACTCGTTGATGATACAAATGATGCCAATGATAACATGCAAACTGGCCTTGGTATCTCTAGTTCAGGAAAAGAAAGCCAGAAATCCAATCGTAGATGGCAGGTTTGTAACCTCTGCTAAGATAGATATCATTTATACTTTATCTTTCTGTTTTATTGTTTTAATCAATTTAAAAGATGGTGCTTATTCACGTTCTCACTACATTCTTTATATCAAAGTCAAGGTGTCGGCGGAGTTTTTATTTCTCTACTATGTATGATTGTAAAAGCTGTAGTGGCGAGTGGATTTTGGCACACTGAAGTTCTTTTTCAGAAAAAACATCTGGTTCGTAAGGCTTCCCACCTCTTTCTTAAGATGTCTCTATCACAGCTGATCACACATCCTTCAACATTTTTGTTTATCGACAGCAATCGTTTCGCTAGATATTTTTAACTTTTAAATATACACAAGGTTTTTGCTTTAAATATTTGTAAGAACTTTAGCACTGTTTGTGGTTGTTTCGCTCTATTTGCGGGTACTTATAATGATTAATATCAATAATTTCAATTTTCCAATGATCTATTTCTTAGTCACACTGATTATTTGAAAACAACGGCACAGAACTTCACGAAGCCTTTGTTAAGGGTAAAGAAAGATCCGCCAAATGAATTTTTCTTACTATATCAAATTTCATCGAACATCTGGTCAAAAAGATCAAATCATCACTGTAATGTAAACAAGAACGGAGTAAACTCCCTTGAAATGTTAAGGGAATAGGATGTTTTTATTGAAACAGTGTGGTTAAATCGTATACATAACCAACCGATGATCTTGCACATGAAGTCAGCAAAAATGCCCGTAAAAACTTAGAATTCTCATCAGTCTCTAAAGCACCTAGTTGAGTTAAGACTTAGTAAGTAATAATTCCCTGAATTAGGGAAGTTTGTGTTTGAAAACCAGCAAACATTTAGTTTTCAATAAAATGTCTTATAGTTTTCCAATTTTCTTGACCGTTTTTTCCAAATTAATAAATGCGAACCGAGAAATTAAGATTTATTTAGCTGAAAACTAGGAGTGTCAAATATAAAATTACTTACTTAGGCCTGTTACTCCCATCGGAGGGTAGGCTGCTTACCAGCGTTCTCCAACTCATTCTGTCCTGGGCCTTCCTTTCGGGTTCTATTCAATTGTTGTTCATTGTTTTCATTTCTATCCCCATTTCTCGGCGTAATGTGTTCATTGACCTTCCATTTCTCCTTTGGTCTTGAGGGTTCCAGGTGAGGGCTTGCCCTGAGACGCAGTTGGGTGCTTTCCTTAATGTGTGTTCCATCCATTTCTAGCGCATCTTCCTAATTTGTTCCTCCTCTGGAATCTGGTTTGTTCTCTCCAACAGTAGGTTGTCGCTGATATTGTCTGGCCAGCGGATCCGAAGTATTTTGCGTAAACAGTTGTTTACAAACACTTGTATCTTCTGGATGATGGCTTTCGTAGTTTTCCAAGTTCCCGCCCCATACAGTAAAACTGTCTTGACATTTGTAGTGCAAATTCTGACTTTGGTGTTCGTTGAGAGTTGTCTTGAGTTCCAGATGTTCTTCAGTTGTAGATATGCTTTATTTATTTATTTTAACACATAGATATTGGTACAAGGAGGCGACACTTTACTAATTAGAGGCAGTGATATTCCAACAAATCTCTTAAACAGGGTGACTGATTACTAAAACTAATGTGTTGACAGATTTTGACTCGCGCATAAGCATTATAAATTGTTTGCAATGTTCTACATGTTACTGTGTAGCATAGTTATTTTTATTTACTTTAACACATAGTCATCAAATACATATGCGCCACACAAATCTTTTTCGACATGTGTGAGGGCTGTGATACTGTCCGGGTGCCCAAACCGAAACAGGTGGTTTTCTTAGGGGGCCACACCCGGAGCTTTCGACCTGGAGGTCTGATCCACAAGGCAGTGGGGCATCTTAAGGAGATACAGTCCCATGGAAGCCGGTGACCAACAATTGGTTCACACGCCATTTGTTCCCGCAGGATACTGGAGCCCATGTGCACCAATGGTTTGGAATCCGGTTAAAGCGCCGGACATTCGGTTTTCATCCTCTCATTTTCGTAAACAACACCCCCGCCACGAGAAGGCAGTGAGTAGGACTTCCCTGGTAGAGGCTATATACGCGTGACCATGTGAGAGCATTTCGAGAGGGAGAGCGGACTCTCCCCACTCTCGTCCGTTCCAGGGCATTTGGGGGCGGCTCTTGCTTTTCCGATCCCCGCCTTCACATATGCATCAGATCCATCGTATTCATCAATGATCCTGCGCAGATATGTAAAGCTGTTCACATCTTCCAAAGGTTTTCCGCCAAGTGTGATTAGACTGATGCATGTTGTGTTGTATCAAAGAATATTGCTTTTCCCTTTGTGTATATGGAAACCTACTGCTGCTGAGGCTGCTGCTACACTGGTCGTCTTCTGCGTTTGTTGTTGGGTGTTCGATAAAAAAAGCCAGAACATCCACTAAGTCTTGGTCGTCCAGCTTTATCCTAGCTGTCCACTGCATCTCATGCTTCCCCTAAGATGTTGACGTCCTCATGATCCAGTCGATCACCAGGAGGAAGAGGAAGGGCGAGGGTAAGCAACCTTGGCTGATACCGGTCTTTACTTAGAACGAGTCTGTCAGCAGTCATCCACGCACGATTTTGAAGTTTAATCCATCATAGGAATTCCGTATGATGTTGACTGTCTTTTCAGGCAAGCCGTAGTGTCGAGGAGGCCTCCATAGTGTTGTCCTGTCCACGCTATCAAATGCTTTCTCGTAGTCAATGAAGTTGATGTAGAGTGATGAATTCCATTCAATTGATTGTTCCACAATGATCCGTAGAGTTGCTATTTGGTCAGTACACAATCTATCTTTACGGAATTAAACCTATTGGTCTCGAAGTTGGGCGTCTACAGAGTCCTTCATTCTGTTTAACAATACCTTGTTGAAGACTTTACCTGGCATTGAGATAACAGTGATGCCCCTGTAGTTCTCACATTTGCTGGGATTGCCTTTCTTTGGTATATTGATAAGATGTCCTTCTTTCCAGTCTGTTGGTACTTGTTCCTCATCCTATATCTTGCTGGATAGAATGTGGAGTATCCTTGCAGTTACTGCTACATCTGCTTTTAGTGCCTCTGTTGTCTGGTCCTGCTGCTTTGCCGCTCTTGATTTGTCTGATGGCTATGCTGATCTCTTCAATTTTTGGTGGGCCAACATCGATTGGGAGGTCCGTGGGTGCTGCTTGGATGTCGGGTGTGTTCAGTGGGGTTTGTCAGTTCAAGAGTTCCTTGAAGTGCTTTACCCACCTGTTCCGCTGTTCTTCAATGTTGGTGAATACTTTACCTTCCTTGCTTTTCACTTGTCGTTCTGGTTTATGATAATTTCCAATGAGCTTACTTGTTGTATCATACAATTGTTTCCATCTCTTGCAGCCTTTTCCGCCGTCATTAATAGATCTTCCACATATTTACGTTTGTCAGTTCTGATGCTACTCTTCACTTGCTTGTTTGCTTCTGTGTATTCGGCTTGTGCCCTGGCTTTATCGGTTCTTGTTTCGTCTGATATTGATTGTATCAACAGTGATCCATTCCTTGTGATGGTGCTTCTTGTGGTCCAGAACTTCATGATATGTTGAAGTGATCACCTCCTTGATCACTTTCCATTTGTTATCCATGGTAGTTCCCTCTCCGTTGAGTAGATCGTGAAAGCCCTGGGACCTATTGTTGTGGGCTATCTTGAGTTCGTTGAGTCTGTCAGCATCCCGAAGAAAGGTCGTATTAAAATTTCGTGATATCCAACCCGTTGTCCAGTGCTTCTTGAGTTTCGGTTTCATCTTGGCGACCAGCAAGTGATGATCTAAGGCTATATCAGCTCCTCTCTTGGTTGTTGCGTCTTCCATCGTCCTTCTGAACTTTTTATTGATGCAGATATAATCGATTTGGTTCTGTGTTGTGTAATCCGGTGAAGTCCATGTGGCTTTGTGATTGCGTTTATGCGGGAATTTAGTGCCTCCTATGACCAGTTTGTTGAAGGCACATATTTTTGCATATCTCACCACTTTCGTTCCTTTCTCCCAGTCCATATCGTCTCATGATATCTTATCTGGTATTGTCCATTCCAACTGGCGTTTAGGTCTTCTATCCGAATAGTCACGTTCTTTCTTGAGCATTTTTCAACGATTGAATGCAGCCCATCGTAGAATTGATGTTTAATATCTTCACTGTAATCGTTGGTACACGCATAGCATTGGATGACGTTCATTGTAATGCCCTCTTTCTTTGTTTTGAAGGAGGCTTTGTTGGTCCTGGGTCTATGAGACTCCCATCCTATAAGTGCATTTTGTGCTTGTTTGGATAGCGTCAGTGCAACTCATTGTGCATGTGGAGCATTTTCTTTATGGTCGTAATGTAACAACAGCTCCCCTAAAGCTAATATTTGTTGTCCGACCTGCCTTCAATGTGTTTCACTGATTCCCAGTACCTCCAGGTTGTATCTTTTCATTTCTGCAGCAGCTTGGATGACTCTCCAAGTCTCCCACATTGTACGAACATTCCATCTACCTAAATTAATGGTTGTTCTGATTGTCAGTAGGGGCCTCAGCTTCGTGACTTCCGAAGAAACTTTTCTAAATGAAGACCCTCTAACTTCCAAGGCAGAGTTTAAATGGTTTGAATTGTTTTTTCTTGTTTAGCGTTTTTTCAGCGAGTTAGTTTTCTACGGGATGGGGTCGTCAACCCCATGCCCAACCTTCCTTCTTTATCCGAGCTTGGGACCGGCAGTAGCCTCAAAGGGGCTCCAGGCGAAGTTAATTATAAAATTGATTACTGGAAAACATGAGTAACTGTGAAACACTCATATCCTAGTATATACAGTTTTGTAGTTGACTCAGCTTATTGCAAATGTCATAATTATGCGTTTTGATCGTTGTACAGTATTTGGATTTCAATAAACCTAATGTAACCGTTCCGATTTTTCCATTTATTATTAAGAGGAATAGACTTATATGAAAGCAAGAAAATATAGAAACTTCGATCTTGCAGACATAATTAAAGGAGTTAGCAAGTATGAATTGTATAGTATTTAATTGCGATGTGATGAGATTTTTGATAAGAGTTGCTATAGAATGCTTATTTGTAACAGGGATTTGAGTAACTGACAGCAAAATAATATAGAACTATGTAGAAAGTTTAATTTGGCACGTAAATCTACTTACCTAGATGCTTGAAATGCTTCTTATGTGTATAAGGATAGTAGGTACTAGCCATCTATGGTACACAAGTGAATTTTCATTTATTGATCAGTTAACTATCCTCACCTACGCCTGTAGTTAGCCAACGAAACCTGGCATGTCGTGTGTGGTTTTAATCAACACGGAATACAGAGTGCTGCCTAGCTCGCTGTTTGCAGATATATTGTTGAGTTTGGTGTAGTACAACACGATAAATTGATTTTTGATTAGTTAATTCAAATTTACTTATCTGTTCGTTTTTATCCAACTTAACTTTTTTGTTTATTTAAGGCTTTGTGGTTAACAGTGCCAGAAAAAGTTAAACGCGAATGGAAAAACAAGGCAAAGCGTCTTTTAAAACAAATTGAACAGCATGGAAAACGGGAAGTTCTATCCGAAGATAGAAAATTAAGAGAACGTGATCGTTTGGAAGTTCAACTCAGTCGCACACAAACAACATTTTATAGTTTGCTTGATCTGGCCGCTCATTTCCAGCTTTTAAGTGATCGATTTGCAACATTTTCTAAAAATGTTAATGATTATGAGGTAATTGGAAGTCTCATCTATGATAGTTCTTTATGACCAGAAAATTAGTTGCACAAATCAGCTATGATTAGAGAAATTGTTTGCTTAAACGTTTACTGTTCATAACATTATCTGTGAGTTTTTGCAACACATATCTAGCTCATTACCCGTTCTGTTGGATAATTAAATATCAGTCTGGTATGTTTGTTACAAAAGCTTGAGGCGATATATCCTACAGTCAGATATTTTAAGTCATTTTATGTTATGCTTAAATAACAGTTCGGAATATTGAGCTACTGTATTTTTACTTTGAAGACACTTTCTCACTAAAAGTTAGTTTTCATTACATAGCCATTTAGCAAGTAAGCTGTAACAAAAATTCAATTTACTCTTCTATCTACAGCATCATGTGACCATTGGAGCTATCTTAAGCGGAAATAGTAAATCTCGCTCCTGTATTCTACTGCATAATCGTGAATTTTACTGCAGATATGATCCAAACGGTGAGTGTATTGCGAAAAACAGTGAGACTATAATTTATGGACGACCTTTGAGCGACGCTAAAGTGACCTTGAGAGTGTCTACTTACTAGAACTAAATCAGGGTTATAAAGTAGTTTTAAGAATAAGGATTATGATTTACAGTTGATGGTTAGTGTTAGGAGTTAGATTTAGGGTTTTCATCACGAACTGACATCAGCTATAACACCAAAACTATTTAGCCAAATAGGTGAATGACTTTCGCGTCAAAATCTCAGACGTTATCGTAAATCTGATTGGCTCGTCCATAAATTATAGTATCGCCCTGAAAAACCATTTGAAATCTCCCAGATTGATGTATTATACTCAAGGTTATCTGCAGTCTAAGTTTATTAAGGTAGAATCTTGTTTTTGGTATTGCATGCTATTTCATTAAGTAAAAGGTTGATTGAAGATTATATATATATATATATATATATACTTAGTTTACTTGTTTTCTTGTTTGTTTTACAGGGACCAATTGACCCTGTAGGTGTAGAGTCGTTACTACTCGATGGCTTATTAACATGTTTAATCCCATTGATTGCGCTAACAAATGAATTGGAGCCATTCACAGAAGTTCCTGATCGTAAAACTATTTGTGACGCTTTAACCAATTTAACTTTTATCGCTCCATTTTAAAATACGAAAATTAAATACATTCATATAAAGTTTTGTAAATATATCCATGTTATCCCATTTTAAGTGTAAAATAACTGTGTAAATAAACCTTTTATCACTATCAAGGTTTTTTGACCATTTTGTTTCTTTATAGTTTGTGTTTTTAGAGTTTTTTACTTGTCAATAAAGTAGATCTCTAATGTTCACCTTTTTTATCGGTCATTATTTGAAGAAAACTTGATTTGCTAGCTAATTTTCTTTTTCTTGTTGGATTTAATGAAGACTGGGATATTGTTTGAAAACCCTGAATCTCTAACTCAAATAATTAATCTTGAGTTTTCATGTTAGTTCGTCACCGAAATAGATGTATTCCAATCATTCTTTTGTAATTGTTGACCATATTTACAGCATTAGTTTAGTGAAAGTATTTTTTAATAACTCTACTGACTGAATCCTACTTACACGTTTGACAGGTCTCATTTGTGATCATTTGCGATACAACTAAGTTCCTTAATGCTATTTACGTCGTGTCAGTTTCAAATTTGCGACTTAAAGGTTGGAAGCCTTGCGGCACTGAACAATCATATAATATGATGTAGAAATGAGTGGTAAATAGAAATTGAAAATTTTATGGATTTCAATCTGTTGTTTGGAACGTGCACAACAGAACTCTTCATCCGTATTCTTGATATTTGTGTGACAATATTTGCCTGACGGTTCTCGATGTATGTTGCTTTTCTTGTATGAGGAAATGTTTCTCAAGCACTTGTACAGATCTTTAAGCCTATTGTGTTTAGTTTATCATGAATTCAATTGTAGCTTATTAGATTACCTGGTGGAGTTTTGATTTTGTGCTATTTGTGAAGCGGAAGTTAGCCAAACATAGATGGTCAAATAATCAATAACTAACTCAAATTAGTAAATACTTGGTCGCATAATTGACTTTGAGCTAAAACGTTTTATTTATTTGTTACAGATAATTTCTAGCTCCTCAAAATACAATCTTTGAGGTTTTGGTTTGAATTTACAAAAATAATTACCAGAATCTCAGTATTCTGACCAGTTATTTGGTTAAACCGACATAAGCTTTTGTCAGTATTAGCTTTCTAACCTAACTAAACGTTGAACTTTGTGAAATCCATGCACTCGATCAGTCATCTCTAAGTATTTTATACTTGTAACAAACCAAAGCTTCCAAATAAATTCCCGCTACTGTTTTAATGTTTTTTGAAGTTTGTTCATTTTACTTTTATTCGAAATCCTTATAAAAGGGACTCCTTATTTTCGGGGGTGTTGATTTTCTTCATTTTACTTAGATAAAATCAAAGAACTTACTCCATTCTCTTTTCACACAAGTTGACTTTGTCTATTACAGTGTGGCAACTTGCAGGTAGATTGTTCAAATCTATGTAAATGTTCATTGTAACGAAAACATTTGTACACCAATTCACTGTTTTCAAATAAAGAAATACGTTTTTATAACTTGACTATTGCATACATTTGTTGATGGCAATAACGCTGACACCATTGCATTGGTTTATTCATGATCTCACTTATTTCATTCGTACTCAGATATTTTGCATGATCACTTGGATCATTTTGAATGAAATCATGTATGCCTGGATGTTTGTGTAATAGTATTTTCAACCTACTGATAGTATAAAAAATGTTGCCATAATAACTTAAGCTACTGTCATATAATTATAGTTATTAGTATTAATACCTATTGTGTATAAACTTATTGATCTCTTATCCTACTAGTATTGTGTATTTCTTAGTTTAAATAGTGTTGCAATATTGAAATATAAATGTGAGATATGTTGGGGCACTTTCTGTGAATAGACATAGGGTTATGGTTGTCATATCCTTTCTTATAGAAATATTAGTTGGAATGTGTATTTTTACATCCGAATCTCTCTGATTACTGGTTAGTCAGGTGATAGTACTGTAAAACTCATCAAAAAATATAACCTAATGACCAGTTTCATTTATGTACTACCCTGATGGCCATCTTATTGTTCATAGTCCAGGTTAGTTTTCACCTTTAACTCAATGTTAGATGGCTTATTGTAATAATGCTATAAAAATAGTGTTTCGAGAGACAACTAATTTTCGCATTTCAGGTCTTAATGTTGTTCACATCCACATCGATATTAGAATAAAAGTGGAGTAATGTCCTTATCGTTTTTACGCTAGTCATAATAAGACATAAACTGTATAGCATTAGTAATACGAATTATAAATATTTCAACATACGAACTATGTCAAAACTTTAGAAAAAGCATTGGAATTATAATCATATTAGAATAAAGCCTTATAAAAGTTTAATTTTCAGTATTTTACTCTAATGTCAGTATAATCTCTGTCTTCATTTTGAACAAATCTTATTAAATACTTAGATTCTCGTAAACAATGATCAAATTAAGAAGTCTATTTTTTAATTAAATAGTGCTGTATATATGCTAGAAAAGTTATCTTTGATTCAAATTCCAAGCAAACAAGGGGTGTTTCGTTTGTATTAGCTTCTGGTAGTGTTTGTGTTTTTATGTACCTAACAAATTTTGTATTGAGTACGGCTTATCAGTATTTGTTTTCAATTTCTGAGTCTATCGATTCATAATGAGGACATTTATCCCGAGTACATTAAGTTCAATAGGTGTTGTTTCTTTTCCTCCATGAAATATTAACCATTTTGTTTGTTATTTGTTTTAATTATGCTATATATAAGATTAGAGCAATTAAAATAGAATTATTTCCAAGCATCCTTGTTGGAATGAATGTTATTTTGACTGATAAGTAGGATTACATTGAAGCTCTTAAATGTTCCATTTAAGAGAAAAACTTTGTTTTCTATTTAGTATTTTAAATTTGTTTTTAGGCAGTTAATACAAATTCTGATAACTTTAATTCAATCAAATTGAAGTATGATGGATTAGTGGATGTAAAGAATAGAATCGAAAAAAAATTATCGGAATTAAGTGAAATACTTCGTCAGGTAAATTTTAGTTTAATTGGAACATTTTCATATTTATTAAATTTCGTAGTTAATCCGTACGGAATGGATATTTAACAAACCATGTATTTTAATTGAATAGTCATTGGATAGGCATCTTTTAAAAAAAAAATACTTACCTTATATTTCTACTTTGAATCGCATATGCGAAGCTAATGAAGACAGATATTCTCTGATATTACGGTTTTGAAAGTTAAGGAATGTGAATAGCGTATGTTAGTCATCTTTCTATTATAGCTTAGGTGAATCAAACTAGAAGTGTTTAGAAACGAATGAAATTCGGCTGGATGAAGATATAATGCAAAACAAGTAGTTCCTTTTGCTTGTTTCAAACTAAAGTTCGTCTATGATGTTTTATTTTATATCCAAATATCTTTAACCCTCTAATTTTCTTAGGTTTCTAGATAATTCTACTCTCAAATACTTTTTTTGTCACTACAACTCACATTTACCTTTATGTTAACATGATGAAAATGATTTAACATTTTAAGCATCAGCAACTATTATATCGAGTAATCTTTTCATTATTGCTCTTGACATCAAATTTATAGCCTGTAACTTTCAGTGTAGAATTAATGTTTTGATTTGTTTACACGAATAACTCTAGTATATGATGAAGTTATTGGAAATGCCAACAATGTTTGGTCCCACACAGAATTCATACTTTTCCAACTCATCAATCAGAACAGTAGGAAGGCCAGCCAGGTACATTGTTGTTAAGGTTTTGTTCTCTTAAAAAAAACTTATATAGGACTAAATCAGTATCTACTTAAGGTGAATTTACGGTGTGTAAGGTCAGTGGTCTTGAGTGCTGTTAGAGGTCAAGACCACTGACGCTACATTATTTTATTAACTTCCAATGCATTTTTGATATGATTTGTGTTGAGTGACAACTACTCAGTTCATAAATTATAATCATTGTATTTCATATATATCCGATTAGATTATGTGTTTTTAACTTTACTGGATTCATTATCAATAAAGCTTCTTTTAAGAAACTAGACCTCTTACTCTAGTTGCGCTTCAGATACGAAGAGAATAGCGGCAGTCTCGTTCACTATATTGAAGTTGTAGTCGCAAACTGAAGCTTAATGCACGAAAATGTCACTTAAGGTGTCTGTATTCTTTGTAAATATCATACTCAAAAACGCATAATTATATAAGTTGAAGGGTTACATGCAGGATAGTTAATAAATCCCAGTCGGTACATAACCAGGATATAACTCTGAGTAACAGTTTCATAGTTAATTCACTGAACGTACTCTTCTAAATACAACTTACCAAATTCAGTAATACTCTTTTCATTCTTTCACTTTACAATCAGGTCAGCTTTTATAACGATTTACAATTGGAATGGTAAACGTGGTAGCTAACAAAAAATAGACTGGAATTGTAGATATTAAAATTATTTGTACCCAGTCAGAATTACTTATCTGCGATTGTTAATTTGACGCATGTTGAATAAAAGATAGTCATCAGCTACATTTTTTACTGTTAATTTTTACTTACCCATTATAACTGTTTCTAAATAGAATGGCAATGTTGGTATGGATACCCCATTAGTTGATGATGAAGGCTACCCACGCTCTGATATTGATGTGGCTCTTATACGAATAACGCGAAACAATATCCATTGTAAGTTTGTAGGCTTTGTTTAGTTTGGTACCGTATATTTCGTTTCAAGAAGACTTTTATTATTCTTATCTCTAGTTAAGCACGTCGGAGTGACTGAGCGGTCTGGGGTCCCAGACTCAAGAGTGTTCTTCTGGGTGTTCTGGTCCACGATGTGGGTGTGGGTTCGAATCCCACCTCCGACACATACTTTAGGGTAAGATTAGCATGGCCTTTGCGCAAGGACGACGCTCTACATTCGCCCCCGAATGTCCTGGTATGGCAGAGGGTGTGGAGAGCTAGCTCCCCCTCTTGAAATGCTCTCACGTGGCCATGCGTATACAGCCACTGCCAGGGAAGTCCTACTCACTGCGTTCTCACGGAGTGTTGTTTGCGAAATCGAGAGGACAAAAGCAAATGTCCGGCGCTTTAACCGGGTTGGTGGATATGGAGGATCCACCTAGGGGAGTTGGAAAACCCTGATTCCAAACCAATGGTGCATATAGGCTCCAGGATTCTGAAGGAACAAATGGCGTGTGAACCAATTATTGGTGACCGGCTACCATGAGACCGCATCTCCTGACGTTGTTCCACTGCCTTGTGGGTTAGACCATTAGGTCAAAGGCTCGGGGTGTGGCCCCCTAAGATAACTACCTGCTTCGGTTTGGGCACCCTAGCAGTATCGCAGCCCACACACAAACCAAGTGACTTGTGTGGCGCATATGTATTCGGTGCCCCCTTGTACCAATATTTATGTTTTCAAATAAATAAACAAAATACTAGTTAATAAGCTACTTATCCTCTTTAGTAGTTCGTGTGATATAAATTGAATCCTCTTAACTCAATAGTCAATCACCGAGTAGTAACCACTGTCATTTCTAATCAATAGCGCTTATCGAATTCAGTTGATTAAGTCATAACAAAATTAACAGACCAAGCTACTCAATACCGCCGAATTACGTCTTCTGGAAGGCATCAGTACACATGAAGCTGCAAATAACTGTTGTTAACGAGTACCACTTAACATGCCCTCAAATGCCCTGGTACGGACGAGAGTGGGGAGAGTCCGCTCTCCCTCTCGAAATGCTCTCACATGGTCACGCGTATATAGCCTCTACCAGGGAAGTCCTACTCACTGCCTTCTCGTGGCGGGGGTGTTGTTTACGAAAATGAGAGGATGAAAACCGAATGTCCGGCGCTTTAACCGGATTCCAAACCATTGGTGCACATGGGCTCCAGTATCCTGCGGGAACAAATGGCGTGTGAACCAATTGTTGGTCACCGGCTTCCATGGGACTGTATCTCCTTACGATGCCCCACTGCCTTGTGGATCAGACCTCCAGGTCGAAAGCTCCGGGTGTGGCCCCCTAAGAAAACCACCTGTTTCGGTTTGGGCACCCGGACAGTATCACAGCCCTCACACATGTCGAAAAAGATTTGTGTGGCGCATATGTATTTGATGCCTCCTTGTACCAATATCTATGTGTTAAAATAAATAAATAAATAAATAACCAGTTAACATGGAATTTCTGTCCAGGGCCTCTTGCTGGCTATCTTCAGCTATCTGACATATGATATTTTTTACAAGTTTGTTCAATCCGAAAATCACAAGATTCGTCCCAAAGTAACTGTTAGACGCGTAAGTCTAAAGACACTGTTAGTTTCGTTGGAATCACGGACCTATCTAAGTCTGACCACTATTGAAAAATTGAAAGACCCGAACGGCCGTCTCGTCCGAGTATGGACTTTTTTTAGCTGTGCGCACTTACGATCTTGAACCAGCGACCTTCGTTTCTCTCGAGTATGCTTAATCTTTAGGCTACTGAGTCGGTATTCACTGGTAATATCATCTAACCTCAATCAGTTCATGGTATTGCGTGATCATCTTACATTGTCTTTGGATGATAACTACTCACTAGTCAATGATTTTAATGAAATTCAGCAACTTCTGCAACCCCATACTGAACATTATTAGTTATTTTCAATATAATCCACATATGCCCAGCTGATGAATCATTTTAGACACAATGAGCATCGTTACGGTTAACCACTGTCAGTGACTCCTTTGATTGAAAGTAATTAGACGTCCAACCATCTAACAATTAATAATTTGAGGTAAACCAAATACATATGATTAATCTGTTCTCAGAGAGTGAACTATGCTTATGTCACTTCAGTAATTGGCATATCGGGTTTCTTGTGTTGTATTTATTATTTAAACAAATAAATCATTTTAAAAGTTTTTATTTGAAGTATCATTTCTTTTTCAAAATAGGAGAGTTAGTAATCATTAAATTTGTTGCCAAATTATTTACTTTGGCATTTCTAATATGCGCTTAATATAACTTCCATTAGTATTTTTTAAATAGTGAATCATTATATCTCACTATTATTAAAGTTGTAGGAAGTCACTCAGATATTAGTAGATTACATTGATTTTTAAAAAGTCTCTTCACAAAGTTGAGAATAAATTATTATCCAAAATATTTAACTGGAGTTACTCTATAAATAATTTAATTTTTAGGTTCTTTTTTAATGCACGCGTATAAAGATATGTTTGTAAAATTATGTGTTATTTCTCATTTGGTTTCTCTTTCAGGTTTAAATACAGATCATAAACAAATAATGCTTGAATTGGAAAGTGTTTTACATGAAATACATGAATATGCTCGTCAAAATCCATCTAAAAATGTTTTAACTGATGGAAATGCTTGTTCCAGTGAGAATAAACTAAGTGAAGATCAATCCGCACAGATTGTGAAGAAACCTTTCCTTAAAATTGATCAGATATCACCTAATTCGATAGCGGAACAAGCAGTAAGCATTTATTATTGTTTAAATGAGTGTTAATCTTATGTAAACAGTAATAATTAGTGCAATCTGTAAATGTGTTGATTAAAATCCTCTATCTTTTAGTTATCAAGCTGATGTTCATTTTTATTTCAACTAAATCTATGTAGAGTACGTGAAATTAATAGCTATTTTATGTAGTCTAGGCGTTACTATGTAGACTTTTGATTGTTGTATGTCTGGTGATATTTTGAACTTTTGTATTACAACTTCATAATATGAAATAATTAAACTAGACTTATTGACGGCTTCATATACGAAAAGAATGTTGCTCACTTCTAATACTCATTGAGAGTTCATCCTGCACACTTTAAATTCAACAAGGCATCCACTTATAATACTGTTTAGTTGCCCACCTTTATGATTTTCAATACTCTTTTAACATTACTCATAATTGTAGATACATTTTCAACTGCTATACCATATGGCTTTAAATACCTTGAGCCCTACAGTTGTCTTCTCTCTCCGGAATTTACGAATATTAAATTAGATTGACTATGGATTTTGCGAATTTCAAAGCACTTAGTGATTCATTTTTAACTCTAGGAAATTCCCCCTGTTATCACCTCGAATAATTTCACAAACAATCATGTCGTTTACACCGAAACCAGATGTAGCAATAGCTGATCAGTCTGTCCGATAATTTTTCTGCTGTGCTTTTGAGTATTGAGAGACAATAGATAGCAGGCGGTGGACCTAAATTTATTGGTAACTGATACTCATCAGTAAGGTATTTTTAATATCGAGGATACTGATGCTTTCCTGTAGATGTAAATCTTGAAAATGTGTGCCAACCATAAGAGAACCTAATTCTGTTTTTTCCTGTTGATTCCCTCCAACCACCTATTTTGAAAACATAATACCTACAATGTTAAGTCACATGAAGTGCTAGATAAATTGTATTCTAATCCGTAGTCTAAGGATTGGGAAGAAGTGATATTAGTTATTACTCTATGTGACCAAACAAAAAGTAAGACCTTTTTGATTAAAATTCGAATTACGACTTGTTGTACATTGCAAATGAAGACTAGCTGAGCATCGAACTTGAACTAAGATTACAATATTGTAATGTTTTACAGGATTTAAAAGTTGGAGATCGAATAGTTCAATTTGGTTCAGTATCTGCTGACAATTTCAATTCATTACAAGATATATCTACTGTCTTCAGAAATACATCTCCCGGTGTAAGTTAACATGAAAAAACATTATTACTGACTGCTATTTTTAGCAGTTTCATTGAAATGTTCTTTAGAAAGAAACTTATAAAAAATTATTTTAATCGTTTTCTTTAGTATAACAGTTATCCGGTATCGTTATAGAGTTGTGGAGGTTGTTGAGTTTTTATTAAGATCATGAACTGATGCAGTGCTTCTAGGTTTTCACTAAATAATACTAATACTAATACTAATACTAATACTAATACTACTACTACTAATAATAATAATAATCACTTCTACAGATATGAGCGTATCAACTTACATTAAACTAATCTTATTCATACACCAATATTACTTTTGGTGACTTGTTGAGGCTAATGTCCTCAATATCTGACTCCAATAAATAATATCCCGTTAACTGAGTATTTAATGCAGGCTTAATCTCCTAGTAGAATCACAGATTTACTCGAGACTATTCAAAAGCCTGAACACCAGTTGTAGAGATAATTTATTGCTAATGATTAATAAAAATCCGCAAGCGTACAGCAACCAAGCACATGGTGAAGCCAAGTAAAAATGGTGTGCAGTGGAGACGGCTTGTAAGCCAACTCCATTTTAGTCAAGTGTTACTCAATATTTATAGTCAGACAAAATAAAGCTACAGACATGTGATTAATGGGATAAGAAGGGTACACACATATACGCTCATATAAAAACAGTCTAGATTGATAAGCTAATAAATAACAAGGTCAAAGTATGGCTCAAGTGGAATGAATAAAATGGGATGTCCGAAAGCCAGAATAAGGTATATAGGCTTAGCATGATAACTGACACTACAGACACCTTATCTCCAAGACAATTCCTCTTGGGGCAATATACATTAGGACGGATTGTGGTCGTGTATAGTATTTATGAATAATGCGCTTATCATCTACTATTGGCAGTTCAACTTACTATGAAATTAGACATTGTTACTAGTAATACTGTAGGTACTTCTATTTACGCAGATATTTTGATAATTTCTTGTTATCCTCCAATATTATTCGAGATTATATTAGCTTAACTTGCATTTCGATAAACCGATGTTATTAGTGACAAGATTCTTAAAACTAAAGAAGGAACGAATTGAGCGAAGAAATTTCTTTTCAATTAGTTTTTCATCATGGCTCTACACTAATATATATATGTTTTACAATAATAATATAATACTCATCGAGTGGATACGTTACGTAATAATTACATAATGACATTTAAATTAACATTGATTAATTGGAAGAAAGAGGATTATTAATATTCAAAGTAATTATTAAATCAAGAAGTTGCTACGTTGCGTAATATAAGAAACAGGGAAGGAACAGAATTTTAACGGATGGTCAATAGGATAGTAGTTACGTAAAAATCAAGAGATGAATGTTGAGAAGTTATAAAGTTCAAAAGCAATAGAAACAAAATTACAAAAATTTAAATAAAAAAAAGAAGTGGAAGAAATATGAAAAATAGTTCTTATGACGGAAATCTTATACTGAAGGCCAGGGCGGAGAAAGTGGTTGTACGAATTTCTTTTGGATGCAAAGGTCAGGTTTGTGAACATGGATTGCGATGGCTTCCACAATGTGCAGAAGGCGCACTCGTAAATCATGTGGTAGATTTGATGGAATATTGTAGATAACCTTAAAAGCTTTATTCAATTCGGCTTGATGACCTGTGTCAACCAAGTGAGAGAGAATAGAACTTTTAATCACTTTCACCTGTCCTTTGCTTAGCCATGTCGGATGATGTTCTGTAATGCGATGACGGACCTGCCGAATTGTACGCCCTATGTAACTGGCTCCACAGGAGCAGTTGAAACGATAGATACACATAGATTTGGCGAATTCTGGCAGTCTGTCTTTAATGGATGTTCTTATTTTCGGGTGGTTGTAGATGACATTTAATTTGGCAGCATTAAATGTTTTTTGTACAGCTCTTCGTAGTTTCTGAGTCATGTCTTCTTCAATGGTGTCATTTGTGAATTGTAGTTTTATGATTAATACCTTCTTGGGAACGGTGGGTATTTTTGTCCTTGTTTTCTTCTCCGTCATATGTTTGTCGATGAATTTCATGAGGTACCCATTCAGACTGAGTAGGTTCCGAATATTGTTCAATTCTTCTTCAATGGTGTCTTCAGAACAGATCATTCTAGCACGATGTGTCAAGATCTTTATCAAGTTCCTTTTGTATCTGATTGGAACTGCACTGTGGAAATGAGTGTATTGACCTGCTGCTGACTTTCTGTGTACCCTTCTTTTTATAGTTCCGTCTGTTCTTCTAGTTAGTTGGATGTCTAGAAAAGATATGCTATTATTCTGTTCATCTTCTGATGTAAAGTTAATTGATGTATGAACGTTATTAAATATACTAAGTACATTGTGCTTATCATTTTCTTTTTCTAATACTATGAAAGTATCATCTATATAGCGATAATAAGTTGGTAAATGGGTAATTGTACTTTTAAGTGGTCTATTTTCCAGTTTTGCAAGGAAAATCTTAGCCAGTAGAGGGCCCAATGCTGATCCTATGGTGACTCCATCTAGTTGTCTATATTATTTGTTGTCAAATCTGAATTGGACATTCATAATGCGTCTAAGAATTAACTGTTTTATCGCGGATGCGGGAATCGGGGTTTCTATGCGTCTCGCCGTTAGTTCATTGCAAATAAAATCAACCGTTTCGAGTAGTGGAATATTAGTGAATAATGATAATACATCAAGTGATATCATGAATTTATTCTTGACTGATAGATTTTTTATGTTATCAACAAATTGAAAGGAATCTTTGACGCGATAGAAGACCTCCCCGATAAATTAAGAGAACAATATCTGGACCATGTCGAGATGGTTGTTAACTCAAGAAAAGAAAAGAAAAGAATGAAACTTAAGAATAATCTAGACAAACAAATTCCAGAAATGAAATTTCCATCTAATCCAGATCAGTACGTACACAATTTCTCTAGTGTTATGCTGGACAAAACTGCGTTAGAAGCGTTATCACTAGGCCCTAAGTTTTGTAACTTTAAGAAAACAGTCAATAAAATGGACGTTGAAATTCAATTCGAAAATCTTTATGCTCAAGCGTCAGAACTAGTAACTTCATCAAAAGATAATGTCGAAAGATTTAAATTAACACTAGTCGACTGTTGTTTTAAATACGTAAATCATAGACATAACACGAAAGCGATTTTGACGAAAAAACATACAGAGGCTCTAAGAAAACTTAAAAACTAATGACAATTTATTAATCACGAAACCTGACAAAAAACATAGGATAGTATTCATGGATAAAAATGACTAAATAAACAAAATGAAAGCCCTTCTAAATGATAAAAGCAAATTTCAGAAACTGGTTTTTTATCCATGAATACTATCCTATGTTTTTTGTCAGGTTTCGTGATTAATAAATTGTCATTAGTTTTTAAGTTTTCTTAGAGCCTCTGTATGTTTTTTCGTCAAAATCGCTTTCGTGTTATGTCTATGATTTACGTATTTAAAACAACAGTCGACTAGTGTTAATTTAAATCTTTCGACATTATCTTTTGATGAAGTTACTAGTTCTGACGCTTGAGCATAAAGATTTTCGAATTGAATTTCAACGTCCATTTTATTGACTGTTTTCTTAAAGTTACAAAACTTAGGGCCTAGTGATAACGCTTCTAACGCAGTTTTGTCCAGCATAACACTAGAGAAATTGTGTACGTACTGATCTGGATTAGATGGAAATTTCATTTCTGGAATTTGTTTGTCTAGATTATTCTTAAGTTTCATTCTTTTCTTTTCTTTTCTTGAGTTAACAACCATCTCGACATGGTCCAGATATTGTTCTCTTAATTTATCGGGGAGGTCTTCTATCGCGTCAAAGATTCCTTTGAATTTGTTGATAACATAAAAAATCTATCAGTCAAGAATAAATTCATGATATCACTTGATGTATTATCATTATTCACTAATATTCCACTACTCGAAACGGTTGATTTTATTTGCAATGAACTAACGGCGAGACGCATAGAAACCCCGATTCCCGCATCCGCGATAAAACAGTTAATTCTTAGACGCATTATGAATGTCCAATTCAGATTTGACAACAAATAATATAGACAACTAGATGGAGTCACCATAGGATCAGCATTGGGCCCTCTACTGGCTAAGATTTTCCTTGCAAAACTGGAAAATAGACCACTTAAAAGTACAATTACCCATTTACCAACTTATTATCGCTATATAGATGATACTTTCATAGTATTAGAAAAAGAAAATGATAAGCACAATGTACTTAGTATATTTAATAACGTTCATACATCAATTAACTTTACATCAGAAGATGAACAGAATAATAGCATATCTTTTCTAGACATCCAACTAACTAGAAGAACAGACGGAACTATAAAAAGAAGGGTACACAGAAAGTCAGCAGCAGGTCAATACACTCATTTCCACAGTGCAGTTCCAATCAGATACAAAAGGAACTTGATAAAGATCTTGACACATCGTGCTAGAATGATCTGTTCTGAAGACACCATTGAAGAAGAATTGAACAATATTCGGAACCTACTCAGTCTGAATGGGTACCTCATGAAATTCATCGACAAACATATGACGGAGAAGAAAACAAGGACAAAAATACCCACCGTTCCCAAGAAGGTATTAATCATAAAACTACAATTCACAAATGACACCATTGAAGAAGACATGACTCAGAAACTACGAAGAGCTGTACAAAAAACATTTAATGCTGCCAAATTAAATGTCATCTACAACCACCCGAAAATAAGAACATCCATTAAAGACAGACTGCCAGAATTCGCCAAATCTATGTGTATCTATCGTTTCAACTGCTCCTGTGGAGCCAGTTACATAGGGCGTACAATTCGGCAGGTCCGTCATCGCATTACAGAACATCATCCGACATGGCTAAGCAAAGGACAGGTGAAAGTGATTAAAAGTTCTATTCTCTCTCACTTGGTTGACACAGGTCATCAAGCCGAATTGAATAAAGCTTTTAAGGTTATCTACAATATTCCATCAAATCTACCACATGGTTTACGAGTGCGCCTTCTGCACATTGTGGAAGCCATCGCAATCCATGTTCACAAACCTGACCTTTGCATCCAAAAGAAATTCGTACAACCACTTTCTCCGCCCTGGCCTTCAGTATAAGATTTCCGTCATAAGAACTATTTTTCATATTTCTTCCACTTCTTTTTTTTATTTAAATTTTTGTAATTTTGTTTCTATTGCTTTTGAACTTTATAACTTCTCAACATTCATCTCTTGATTTTTACGTAACTACTATCCTATTGACCACCCGTTAAAATTCTGTTCCTTCCCTGTTTCTTATATTACGCAAAGTAGCAACTTCTTGATTTAATAATTACTTTGAATATTAATAATCCTCTTTCTTCCAATGAATCAATGTTAATTTAAATGTCATTATGTAATTATTACGTAACGTATCCACTCGATGAGTATTATATTATTATTGTAAAACATATATATATTAGTGTAGAGCCATGATGAAAAACTAATTGAAAAGAAATTTCTTCGCTCAATTCGTTCCTTCTTTATTCACCGAATGGCAAAATGGGAATTTTCAAAAGTAAATTCACTTATTTTTCGCAAAATATTCCTCACTCCTAACTATAAATTTGAATAGTCTTTCTGTCGATATGTTACTGGTGATTTTCACCAGATGCTTATTTATATACAAAAGTAGTCTGTTAAAATATGTATGAAATTTCTATAAGTTTGTTTGGCGTTGTTTGACTTCTACAAATATTTCATCTCAAACGCTAGGTAGATTTTGTTCCTCTGATAAATTTTCTGGTCTTAGCTTTGTTTGAAATGATTTAATACTCACCTCAACGTCTTTATCAGATATAATAATGTTTCTTCCCGTCATTTTGCACAACAACTGTTCATTCCACTCCATTATTATTACGTTTTTATGTATTACACTATACTACTTACTATTATTCAATGGCTTTCATTGTTATCATTTGTTTTGCAGAATACTTTTGTATCGTATTATGTTGATAATTCTAAGCATTGACATGTAACTCTAACGTTTGATCCATTACATTACTGTAATTACATTCTTACTCGCTTTCCTCCATTACTCGTGTTGTCCTATACATACTGATTATTCAAAATAACTTATATATTTAAGGAAGAAGAATGTATTTAGAAAATTTCAACAATTGAATTTGAAGTAGATTCAACGTTTCACCCGGCAATCTGGTTCAGACTTTTTTGAGGAAACTTAATTAAACATCAAAATTATTGAATTCAAACAGGTATTTACTTCGGTTAGCTTTATACTGAATAGATCATCCAATCACATTAACAATGTTGAAAGTAAGTATTTGCTTTAGTGTATATGAGGCATACATAATAAAGAAATCTGAACTCCTTATTCCCTTTGATCTATCACTTATTATCTGAATAACAGTAATCACATTTAACGATTCTAATCAGTTATCTCATTTGAATATGATGAAGAAATAAATGAAACAGCAAAAACACAAAAATTCATTTATTTATTTTTATTTTGTCTACTTATCTTCATTTTATGCATGTTATGACATATTTGATTCATATCATATATAATAATTGTATGTTTTCATTTAAAATTCACCTATCAGAGCCGATAAATAATGAATGAGATTTCTTCTTACACTTCAGATCCACTTACGAATACATACAATGTATTATCTTAACATACTTTCCGTTACACACCACATGCCTCATACACACTAAAGCAAATACTTACTTTCAACATTGTTAATGTGATTGGATGATCTATTCAGTATAAAGCTAACCGAAGTAAATACCTGTTTGAATTCAATAATTTTGATGTTTAATTAAGTTTCCTTAAAAAAGTCTGAACCAGATTGCCGGGTGAAACGTTGAATTTTCTTCAATTTCAATTGTTGAGATTTCACAAGTATATTCTTCCTCGTCAATGTCTTACATCGACTGGGTTAGGGCTTGCCTCGTAATGCAATTTGATTATATCAATGTATGTCCTATCCACCTCCAACGTGTTTTCCTAATTTCCTCTTCAGCTGGGAGTTGGTCTGTTTTCTGCCATACTAGTTTGTTGATGATATCTGGTAAATGGGTCTGAAGTATTTTGCGTAGACAATTGTTTCTGAATATCTATACTTTTTAATGATGGTTATGGTAGTTCTCCAGTTTCAGCTCCATACTATATAACTGTCTTGATTTTCGTATTGAAGTTTCTGACTTAGGTGTTAGCTGAAAGTTGTTTTGAACTCCATAATTTCTTCATTCATAATAATGCTGTCCTTGATTTTCTCTGCATCAGATCATTCTAGTTTATCAATGCTGCTAACCAGGTACATGAAAGTTTCCAGGTGTTCTCCATCAAGCGTGATTGGGTTGGTGCTCGATGTGTTGTGATGTGATTCGGTGAGACTTATGGAGCTTTGTTTATGGGTTTGTGTGGGAATATAGTAACACGTATAGCCATTTTGTTGAGTGCACGTAAATTTGCAAATCTGTCGCTACTCTTTTTCCTTTCTCCCAGTCTATGTCTTCTCATGACATCTTAATATCCGGTGTTGCCCATTTCAACATTGGCGTTTAGTTCTCAAATTAGGATGGTCAAATTATTTCCTGTGCACTTCTTGCTGTGTCGGCAAGCCAATCGGAATACGACTTATACAATCTTAACACTGTGCCAAACCGACAATGTATCGACCGGTATGAGCAACCTAACGTCCTTTTTCCTACTAGCCCTACCAGATGAGTCCAGAACAACAATACCAGCTTCCACTATGCGAATCATTTATTTCAAACATACCTGGCTTATATATAAGACAAACAGACCACATCACATGATAAAATAGTAAATGACATTTATACATGATCAAGCCAAAAAGTGACAGTGGTTATGGGAGACGGTAATTAATAAACTGGACAGAACTTGAGAACAGTATATCGTATTAATAGTACATAAGTCAAAATAGAGCTAATAATATGAGGAATACGAATATACCTAATATAGCTACTCACTAATTATACAATAAGAATATAGCATCAGTCCATAAATAAAATTCCAACGGCTACCATCCATTATTGTCGTCGGAATATAACACTTCTCTTATGATCGACTCAATACCCTAATAAAATTGATCCTCATCGTTTCTGTTGCTATCATTGGTGGGTGCATAGCACTGGATAACATTCAGTATGATCCCTTCCTTCTTTGTTTTGAAGGATCCTTTGATGATTGTTGATCCATGAGATTCCCATCCTATAGGTGTTTTACGTGCTTCTTTGGACAGCATCAAAACAACTGTCTGTGTATGCGTGGCATTTTTTTCTTGGTGACCAGAGTACAGCAGCATCTCTCCCGAATCTAATCTTTTCATCCCATCTTAGATCCAATTGGGTTTCACTATTTCCGAGGACTGTCAAGGTTTATCTCCTCATTTCTGTAACTATTTGACTAGTTCTCATGGTCTCCCACACTGTCCGAACATTCCACGTCATATTTTTGTGATATCATATCTTATTGTGAGATATTACAAAAGGATTTCGAATTAAGTGATTGTCTTCTAATCTTTAATATGACAATGTCTCATAATTAAGTTATTTTTGAATTAGGAATCACGATTTCATCTGATTAACAATCTCTATTTATTTTTTTTATCTGTATACTTCGTTCTTATTTATTTCATTGGATTTGGCAATATTATTTAGAGCTGTATTCACATGTCCATTGTTCGCGGCGACAGTATGATAAATGTGCTTTCTATTTCGTTGTTGAAACCAGCTGAAAATGCCAGTATAGGGTGAGTCTATTGCTCTTAAATGTGTGTTGTATTTCGGATTTCCGAGTCCCCGACTTACGAGTCACTTATAATCTGTTTAGCTTGTGCCATAGTTACCGGAGTATGACTCCATCTATGTGTGAATAAAGTGTAAAAGCTGTACAAGAATTCTTCACGTTAGATCTCTTGACCCTAATTTAATAATGGATTGTTTCGAAAATCGGGTCTAATTATAATAATTTGTGTACTAGGACTAGTCAGTTTTATTATCCCTATGGGATGTTGTTCCTCTATTTACTCATAAAAAAAGACAATATAATTCGGCGGGGAATTAAAATAAATGCATCACGAAAACAGTAGAAAATAAATACTGGTTTCTCGAAAAGAATGCCATTTTTGTATTGAAGTGTAACACATTTGGGTCATAGAAATTTGTGCACAGATAACTGGTTGTAAAATATGCAGTTACTGTGGATTTGCTATTAACTCGAAGTGAAAAAAACACCGTTTGATGGTTAATTAAAATTTACCAGTTGACTGTATTACAGAATGCTTAGTTAGAAACCTATCAGAATTTCGTCATCTATACCTGCTTTTTTAAAACTTTTTATTTTCAGGATGCACGTTGTTCCTATTTATAGTAAAAATGATTCGATGTAAACTTTCTGTTATGTGTATTCGTTGTTGATGAACAAAGATTCTTTTTGATATATATATTCATTTAACTTGCTAATTTGAGGTCTTTTGAATTTCTTTTGACTAAAGTAGTATTCAGAAGAAATGTATCAAGGTGGTACTGATATGTATGTGCAAAATCACTCACTCACAACAGTACTTTCATAAGACTGTCCATAATTACCAGCGTAAGTTTAGTTAAGTATTTTAATGTATTGTCACCTGAAATTCTCCGTAGAATCATTTAAGTTCACAAATATGACTGTTAAGTCTATCGAAGCGTCCAAGTCACCCGATTGAGATACGCGCAAAACCGAAGTTTCCAAAACAACGATTTGTCTACAATAGCAGTTCTTTATTAAATAATACACAAAATTTAGTTACAAACCTCAACTTGTGAGGTGTCTAGGCGTTTCAACGCGTCCTTCAAGAATGAAAATAACAAAGGCTTCCTGTAAGAGTAACATAAAGAATAATTATAACATACGATAGTACAAAGACAGCCGATAGCTGTGTCTAAATTTGATAACAGTTTATGAGCAAACGAAACTTGAACCAAGAGCAAAACCATATGGAAACTGATGCGTTTGAAAAAATGCACAAAACTGTGGATAACGGCCACAGCGATTAAGATACAGTAATTATAATGATAAATACAATGATAAGTACAATAAACGTTATAAATATATGTGAACATTTCAGAACATTACAGCACAACTTGCGTTACAATCTAAGTTTGAAAATTGTTGGGAATACAACTGCTTACTGAATGTAGATAAGTAGTATAAGACAATATACAAAAGAGTAGGAAGGGGACGAGTAGGAACAATGTAAGACAAACTTAACAATGACGTATTGTACTCCCTTTACCCCAGTTGGATTTATGAAAATTATACTCATAGGTCATTTTTTCCATTTCATAGATAAGGAACTGTGTCCACATACAGACCTTACATTCTTTTTCTTAGACTACTGATGTAGCGCAGTATGATGTAACTTTCAGGTTTCGCTGTTGACATTATTATGTCGTCCCCCAATCTTACATATTTTAGTTGCCTTTATTATAGGTTTCAGGTATTTAGGCAATTTAAAATTTTTAGACAATTTAGCACACAGAAACTGGTTGGTGAACTGTGCGCTAACTACTAATAGTTTGATGAGACGTGTTTATAAGTAAGTGGATGACTGTTCTAAGTGCAATGCATGAGTACGATCGGTTGATTATAGGGATGGGAAGTTTTCATCACCATGTACTTGGCAACTCATTAATACTGATCGAGTTTGTAAAGTGATCCTGAAAGGTAATACTAAATCCCCTACCTGATCGTCACCAGACACTACAATATACAGTGGATAAGTCAAGTGTAATGCCTACAAATAACTACGAGAAACTGGTCAAAGGTTCTTTTGGCAGGCATATTTACTTAGTGGGTACATGCGATTATGTTGACCAGCCGATAAGGTTGTTTACAATTAGGAAAACTGGGTGATAAAGCGAAGATTTCCTACAGACTGGCGTTTGGCAGGATCTTTTGCCCTAGCGATCTGATTCCATAAAGAATAGTTACGAATGTGTAATGCAATATGAAACTTTGGCTCCGTATGTTATTACTTGAACTGATTACGTCAGGAAGGGCTTCGGAAACGTTAGCGCAGATAGTCATAAGAATGGCTGATCAAATAAGTCAAACGTCCCGACTCACCTTCATTAATCAATATTTCTAATCAAATAGAAAAATATAAGCTAAAGATGTGATGACGAGGGGAAGTGTTAAGCACATACGCTCAGTAATAAACAATCAATGTTATAAGCGGATAGCTGACAAGGTCGAACATATATGAACGATGACTGAGAGATGTGATTATATGATTAGAAGAATATGAATTATAGTATGAACTAAGAATCCCAGAAATAACGTAATCGGATCAAGAAGTACTAGATAAACACAAACGATTGTACTGTATTTAGAATTCAAAATCAAGCATTCAACAAGCACAGAGGTATCATTAGTTCATTCAAACACCACAGATTAGTGTTTCCAAAGGACAATAATACACATGTACGTGAAGTTGTAGCGTGTTGTCGAGTTGAGGTTAACTATGAACACCGCTACCAAGAAACACGTGCCAAGTAAATCAGACCTCGAAGGTAGAACGTAATCAAATAAATCCATAAAATCCCTGAGAAGCCAAATATCAGAAGACAATTAATGGACCAGGTCGAGATATATTTGCTGGCGATCTCGTGGTATCGAAAGGATACCGAGATCGTGCCAGGATACAACCTTGGTTACAGAACGTAACCGAATTCGCGCGAAGTTACAATCAAAGTGTAAGAATAAGAATAGAATTACAATATAGCTGTCATTAGCACAGTCAAACAAAAGCACGTTAAAACAAACACTGGTACAGTTGGTCATAATAATAGTTGTTTTTATTAAACAAGTGTTCTCGTGATGAATTTGAGTCACTACTAGGTATTACTACGTGTAAGATCCATTTTGAATGTTTTGTGTGCGAAAATCTCTCTATGTATACACTTGCGTTTGGTTCCTATTGATTCCTTTAGTTGTACATTTGTTAGTCTTTTTGATCCCATCTGACCTGTTAATATTTGTATTATATTATAGTTCTTATTTTTCTTACGCCTTCACTAAGTTTCCGTGTTTCTTCCTGAACTGCATTTATGTTGTTTTGCTTGATACTTAGTCTTGGCAGCAGCCATATTAGTTTGTTCCTCCTTCTGATTGTGTTTCTTGTATTGACTGGAATTGTGCATTTTTGATTGTGAATTGAGGCACTGTTCCAGAATCGGAAACACTCTGTGCTATTAAGCAACCAAATATAATCTTTTGAAGGAACCTGTGAGTGGTCTATCCAGACAGGATAGAATAACATTTATTTGTTGCGATTGGTGATTTTCCCGCATCCTTTATCAACTTCCTTATTTACTGTAATTTAGATTTGATTAATTGGACAATTATTGGTTGAGTAGCTGGATGGCCATATTAGCAATCCACAAACTCAAGCCTGAACTTTGCGTGCAGAAACGATTTGTCCAAGCTCTCATCCTTCCTTGGCCCTAATTCCTTTAATGAGTAGGTTTCTGTGTGGGTGCTTTTTGTTGTTTTTCTGAACTTTTATTTAATTATTATCGATATTTTTAACCACTATTTTGCACGTTAAACTCTAATCACTTATTATTATGACCTTATACAAGTTTTCTTGATTATCATCCAGTTTATTATTATGACCTTTGTTGTTTGTCGCTTTTCTTCATATCTGTCAATTGGACTATTATCTGACCCATAAATTGTGTTCTTCCTTACCCCTTGATTAGTACATTAACCTCATTTGTTAGTTATTCTCGAATCCATTTTTGTGATACAATCCCTTCTATTTTTCTATAGACATATTTTCCATATAACTATATATACGAATGTACAGCTTAGGCAAATGATTTCGTCGAAAAGAAAATTTTCTTCGCTGAATTCTCTTTTTCTTATCCAGTGGTCATATTTGTTTAGGTAACAATGAACATTTAAATTTATGATGAATTTTAGAACCATCATTTTACCCAATTACTTTGATTTGGTTTCAACCGGGTAAGGGTGCGTATCTAACACACCTAGACAGCTATTCCACAGTCCAAACCTTAGTTTGGATTTTACACTGTGTTCTACAGAATAACTTGGTATTTAACTTAGAAATCGTTTCCTGCATGCAGGTTATCCAGGTTCTCACTGGTGGTCTATCTTAGATAGACTAATGAATCCAACTATTAGAATTGCTACGATCGCCGCAATCTCCATCTTGATCAGAACATATAATCAAGTCTACAGGAGAACGAAATGTACCTTCTATAGGATTGCGCATATCAGTAATGGAAGTACAGTACATCGAAATAAGAGGTGTAGTTCTAATCACCAGGTGTATGTGTTTATGATACTGGCGCGAGGCGAGTTCGTAAGTGTAACTTCATTGTGTCAGTTTTAAGACGAGGTACGACTTCAAAATGTGTAAACGATAGGCTAGATATGAACAAGTGACATTTTAAGACGATTATAAACTATGCAGAGAACACAATGTAGGTGCGAATATGAAATGAGATATAAACGTTTATATAGGTAACAGGTTTAATTTAGCTCAGTTATTACCTGATAAAAACGTAGGAATCTTGCCTGATTTAGAACTTGTTGAAGGAATCGTACAGTGTTATGAGAACCTAAAACATAACAGAATACCTGGATTATGCGCTCGGCAGTAGAGGTGAAAAATTTGTTTCTCATGATCTGTGATAAATGGTTGAAGAACAGTCTTGGTTAGGGGAATGTCTTGAACTTGTTGATAATGATGTTAAATGAAAATTTAGTGTTTACAGTTGTTGTCTACGATTCGAAATAATTGTTGAGGTTCCTTACGAAAAAGATTACTGGTATCACATTCTATCGATTCCACAGTATACTCATTGGGACGACGAAGATCTATGGAATGTTTTTTTGAGCTCAACATATTCAGAACTTAGTAGTCTATGTGGCTGAGCGTTATGATGTCATTCAGTCAGCTGCAACGTAGGACCAGGCACATATATGCATAGGTCCAAGTTGCCATACTTCATTAACATAACAAGATGGACGCCAGATTCATAAAAGTAGTTAATTCAGAGGTGGTAATATATAAAGGAAAGATTGCAATAAGGATATAGTACAGGAAGAAAGAATTAGTTCGTAGAAAGAAAGATATGAAGCGATTTTAATCTCTTAGTTTAAGGGAAGACAGAGTGTATACACCGACGCCATTGTGATCGATTCTGAGCCATGTCACCAAGAGTCTCCAACCATTGGTTACGATAGTCACGCGGACCCCCTACCAAGTAGCCTGCATCTACCAACATGGATCAGACTAGAAGTTAGTGTCTTCAAGCACTGATGCCACGTTTTGGTTTGGCCGCCCCTAACCTTCTTCCAACCAACTCCAACACCGGTTAGCATTGCACTTCGTGGTAATCGGTGTTCAGGCATGCGTAACACGTGGCCTAACCATCTCAGTCGATGAAGATTCGCAACCTCATCAACTGATTTACCATCATTCCCTAATGCCCTGCATCTAACCTCGCTATTACTTACCCTGTGATCCCAGCAGTCGCCAGCAATATTTCTAAAGCATCTGTGGTTGAATACTAGTAGCTTACGACTATCTTCTACTCTTAATGACCATGTTTCGCTGTCGTGATTTAAAACAGAACGAACTGCCGCGCGGTATACTCGTCGTTTTTTGATAGACGGATATCTCGCCTTCGCCATAGGTGACGTAAGTTGGCAAAAGGAAAACGAGTTTTTCAAATTCGTGCTGAGATTTCGTCAGACACCAACCCATTAGGACTGACCAGACCTCTGAGAAAAGTGACGTTTTCGATGCGTTCGACTACTTCACTCCCTATCCATAGTTCAGGTGTTGACGCAGACCAGTCCTGAAGGAACAACTTGCATTTAGAGTGGGAGATATGCGTCGTGAACATCCAGGCATTGGTGTTAAGTGCTGGCATTAGATTCTGAATTTTACGAGAGTCTTCACCAAACAGGACTATATGATCTGGGTATTCTAAATTGATAAGTGTACCTTCTGGTTGGAGATCAGTGCCTGAAGTTCAGTTGATTAGATTGTTATTCCCATCAGTATGTTTATGACGAGTTTGATCAAAGATGGGGAAAGCGGACAGCCTTGATGGACACCAATTGAGGTTACATAATCAAATGGCAGTTTTCCGTGCCTATAATTGACCCTCGTTCTATTGATCGAACAAACCAGACTAGTAGTAGCTTTTCAACATTCAATGTAAGATAATAGGAAATATAGTTGCTGTCCACTTTGGCTAGGTGTGTTAAGTGAATGACCGTATTACGATCCTGTATGAGTATTTCGGAGACACAACATACATCAATCGTACGAGATTCTAGGGTCCTAACCAAGGAGGCCTCCTGGCTGGTTTGATACAGGATGCTCACTTCGATGGTCCCAAAGTGTAGTTTCGAGTGAGGTTTCAGTGAACTTGAGGCCTTGTTTCGCACACTTGAATCACTGGCCACGGTGACACCTGAGGATGAAGTCAAAAGAGGAAGTTGACCATTAAAAGTCGACGTGGGAGGAATAACAACTATTGAAGAGCGGCATTGATTATGAATGGAGTTGTCTTGAGTGCCGTGAGAGGTATGAGTGCAAATATGACTTCCCGGTTGTCCACAACGTATAAGGGTTCTTTTGGAGATACCTGGAAAGGAAGTCGTGTTACAGGAGATCTTAGTGACCTGAGAGCGTGATCTCAATGATCAAAGGACAACTGCTTTGCGACGGTCAGATTTACTTAGTTTCAATAACCAAAACCTATTTTAATAGGATTGTGCTTGAGTAAAATTTTTAAAGTTTATATTGCTGTTATAACAACAGTATTGTCTCACTGGTATATATCATTGGGATACAAATGATACCAGAAATTAAGTGAATTATATAGTTCTGAAGGTTGTTTAGGATGATAAAAACATGATATTTCGGTTATTGCTTACACTGTTTCATAACGCATGTAGTAATAGGTACTGGTTGCCGTAAAGAATAAAATATTGTGGTCCTGAAAAAATTTGATTGAAGGAACGTGAAGCTTACCTTATCAAAAGTTGTTATTTTCAGCAGGACAATGGTATTCTTCCGATTTTGGAACATGATTGAGAGTTGAAATTGACTATAGCGGCTTTTTAAAAAATATTTCTGTTTACGCTATAGTGGATGATGTATTCATATCTACTACCACTGTTTAGACGAGATTATCTCACTCACTTTTCATGGTATTTTTGATTTTTAGTTTTATTATATAAATTTTATGATATTTTATCCGATTTTTCAAGTTTATCAAATCCTTTTTTTTGTAGCCATATCTAGTACAATAGATATATTGGCATTTTAGCATAAGATAAATCTATCTGCATCACGGTAAATTTATAATTTTTGAAAGTGTATTCCAAGTCTCATATTTCTTCTTTCCATTTTTCTACAAGTGTTTTTGTCTGAACATATCAACTTTTGATACAGAATCCTTCAGTATTTTTAAGTACTTATTGAGATTCACTTTGACACCTGAAAATCATTTGAAATATTCGAATGAAGATGATAACAATGTTTTGAAAAATTTGCTTACTCATAGGTGATATAACTTAGTCACTAGTTTCACAGGAATACATTTGTTAGACAAAACCGTTGAAGCGACATAGAATTATTTGTATGCTGTTTAAACAAAGTAAAAAATAGTTTTCAGTTCATGCGTAAAAATATATGTGCTAAACATTTATTAGCTGTATATTTATACCTTCTTTCATAATCTGCTTACTGTAGGATAAGTTCATTTGGCTGGGTTTTTTTATATCAGATAATATACTAAACACTAACTGGGTTTTCGAAGGTGAAATATTGCAAGAAATCGAACGAATTATCTTTTATTAGGGGGCATTTGGAACACAAATAAAAATTTCACGTTTTTAGGATGAGATACATCTGGTTCAATTAACTCATGTTTTAGTAACATAAACGTTTTGAAGTTTAACACAAACGAATTATCACAATTGATTGATCATTGGGTGATGAACAATGTCATGCGTCTCAAATCCTTCTTAGTGAAGACCGAATACTATCGACCACGTTTCAATGTGGCCACCAGTCTAGGTGGCTCGACACCGTATGCACTATATTGAGATTAGGTGGTGATTGGAGGTAGTCAACAGGAAACCAATTATCGGTGATTTAAGAAGAATTGTACAGTGTTTTTTTTGTTGTTCAAAAATCAAGTCTTTTTGTGGAAGAATATAATCTATGTTCACAAGACCACTTTCATCGGTTAAAAAACATTACTTTTTGGTAGGATAATATATTATTTCAAAAATTCGGCGAATACCAATCTAAAAAGGAGGCTGTCCATTGTTTGGAGTTTAAACGCCTAATTGTGTAAAAATCTATAAAAAAGCTTTCTTTATGTTTGACTGGTTGATTTTCCATCTCGTTTCATTGAATGTTTTCGTATTGTCAAACAGACATAGGTCATTCTTAACATGGCGTTTGATTGACTATCCAGAATCAGTAGTAAACTTTGAACGCTGTCTCCTTAGTCTTATTTCAGCCTCTAATTTACTTAACTTGCATTTTGTCTTTGGGAGAAGAAACTAGCTAAAAACAAAGTTCGACAAAAGTGTTCTTAGGGTTTCCGGCAAAAGTAAAACGGCATGTGATTCTAATGACCAACATGTTGATCCTAATTTCTAGCCACTTATCTTTACATTGCAAGACTTATACAATAATCAAGTTTAACCGGTTCCGACAAGGTGTTTTACTGAACAAAGTATCTATAAAAGTATAATATTATGAAATTCACCATTTTTAATTGAGGTTATTATCTGTTTTCTTGCTTCTACATGATATATAGTAATGGAATACATTATATTCATCTTATATGTATGACATTTGTGAAATGAAGTGAGAAATGAAAACCAACAACTGTGAGATGTTTTTCTTCAAGAATTTATACTTCAATGTCAAAAATCGGTTGAGAAGTCTTATTACGTTATTCTTATCATTTCGCATTGAGTTTTTAATAAAAAATATTCTATTTGTAAATATCACATTTTTATCGTGCTTAACTTCAGAACAATGTTTGGCCTAAGACAGTTTGAATTCCGTAGGGATATTTTTCTAGTCAAATAGGTGATATATTAATTAATAATCTCTTAAAAGGTATATGCTATTTAGATTGCATGTCCATCTTTAAATAATAACTGAATCAATTCAAAATTATTACTTAGTATACACAAAAGTAATTAATATATTCAGTTTCTAAGATCATATTTAACGATTTCAAAATGATATTTGTCAATATTCATTAGACTTTTGAGGAGAACTGTAATTAGTTCATGCAAAGCATTTTACTGTAGAAAAGTGTAATATAACGTTTCCTTTGTAAGTTGCTGCCAATATACTTGAAACAAGCAATCTAGGACGACCTCTAAACACAAACACAAAACACTTGCTTAGCAACAATATTTTAAAGCAAGCGTCTAGTTTACCATTAAATGATGCCATTCAGTCTTAGAGACTGGTCGACAGTCACTAAAAATGGATGATTCCGCAGCACTTGATGACTGGAAGCGTTTCCTGTACGTGATGGTATTCACTATAAAGACTGTATCCCCGAATTCCGTACTGATCCTTAGCAAATATATGAAACAATATAACCTTTAAATTCATTGATGACCTAGCAGTAATCACTATCTTGTGTGTCCTCTAGTTACTAGTGATTGAGTTTTATTGATCAAATTACAATGAGAGCAAGTTTGTATGTTCCATCATCTCGTGCAATTTGTTTGAATCTTTGGCAGCTGGAACAATAAGTACTGGACTTACATTTGTGGCCATACGTATCTTAAGGAAACTGAGTTTTACATAGGGTTTTTAAATTCATGTTAACAGTGATTGCGGTCAAAGATGTTATAACGAGCTTCCTAGACCGGTACTTCGACGCCTAAATAAAGCTCGTGAAGGGCAGACTAGAGAAAACCAGGCCTTTTTCCGACCTGGACGTGGTTATATAGACCAGATATTCACAATACGCCACGTTTTAGAACATAGAAACACATTCAGACGCCCCCAATAGTAGTATTTCTCGACATTAATGGGGAATTGGACTCTGTCAATCGTAAGGTTCTATGGCAGTGTTTCTCATTGAAAAGGGTACAAAGAAGTACATTAACCTTATACAGGCTCTCTATCCGAACACAACTGGTCGAGTGAGAGCTTATGGTGAACTGTCACCAGAATTGATTACTCCAAGTGGCGTTCGTCAGGACTGCCCACTCTCTCCATTCTTGTTTAACTTTGTCATTGACGTGCTTTCAGAGATAACACTTTCCTCATTTAAATTTCCAGGGGTTGAACTTTTACCGGGAGATTCACTTGTTGACTTAAAATATGCCGTTGACATAGTTCTATTTGATGAAGACGCTGACAAAATGCAAAGTCTTCTGATCACCGTAAGAAACAATGCAAACATGTTCGGGATATGGTTCTCCCCTTCAAAATGAAAAATGTTGCTTCAGAATTGGGTTGCATCGGCACTTGAACTAATGATAGGGAGTGAAGTAGTTGAGCATGTCGACCACTACACTTGTCTTGGGGGTCACATCAGCCTTTGTGATTTAGTGTGTGACGAAATCTCAGCATAGATACAGAAGACTCGACTGGCTTTTGCCAACTTGCGCCATTTATGGCGTAGGCGGTATATCCGTCTACCAACCAAAGGACGGGTTCGCTGCGCAGCAGTGTGCTTCGTCCTACTTTATAGCTGTGAAACGTGGCCTGTAAGAGTCAGAGATATTCGTAGGTTACTAGTGTTCGATCATAGGTGTCTTCGAAGCACTGCCCGTATATCCTATGACCACCGCGTAAGTATTGCGGTTGTTAGGAAACGGGTACTAGGTAAGGATGGAAAATCGATTGATGAAGTAGTGAAACTTCATCAGTTGAGATGGCTGAGACATGTGTTACGTATGCCGAACCACCAACTGCCCCGGCATGCGATGTTTTATGGAAGAGGTTGGGAGAAATATAGGGACGGCCAGACCAAAACATGGCACAAATCCATGAAGTCACCGACAAGTGAGCTGAGCCATGTTGGTAGGTGCAGACTACCTGGCTGGGATCTGCAAGACGATAGCAACCGATGGTTATAGACCTTGAATGACATGGCTCAAAATCGTTTGCAATAATGCAGGCGCATCCACTCTTTGTGTTCTTTCAAATTCTAATCTTCTGAATTCTTCATTTCCCGTTTTTTGCTTCCCAAATTCACTTCACTAGATTATACTCCTTGCATAACATCTTCAAACCCTAATCTTTCCGATTACTGCTTATACTTTTACTACGTCTACCAGTATTGGATTTGAATCGACAATTGTATTTGTGTTGTAATGTGGTGTGGCAACTCGAACTGAAGTACACACGTACGTACGAATTTCTACGTTGCCGATGACTGACTGAGAACAATACCGATATTTTAGATGACTAAAATACTGACACTGTTTTTTTTAAGATTACTGGTTCTCGCCGTTAATTAGCGATAAGTTATGAGTCGATAACGCGTGAAAACGTTTTTTATCTCCTAGTTTGTTAAGAAAACAGTAAGGATGTTGGCAGTAAAATAGCACTATTGCCATAAAAGCTCGCTTGGAGTGTAATCAACGTGTGAAGTGTATTATTTACAGAACTACGTTTTATCTAGACACTATTTGTACTCAGTAAAAAAATTTGTGGCACGATTTTGAAAACGATAAACTTAGTAAAAAACCGTGGGATTAAATTTGTAGGTTAGCGAAGAAAAGGCGAGACACTTTCTTTGTCAAATGGATGATAAAAATTTATCATAGGAATTCTTTAGAAAGTAAATTGTTCACCTTAATTATATGCGTATGACTGTTATTGAGAAGTTTAGCTTAGCGTTAAGCGTTGTTAGTTAGATGAAAAAGCTAATTTTTATTTGGTTCCAGGTGTTCCAAGTTGTATAAGCTGTCGTTGCAGTGTCACAAGCTTTATGTCTTGTTATGTGCCATGAGTTTAAATTTTAACCCTAAATTAAAAGTTGCTGGAACTTTTGAAAGGGATTATATATGTATAAATACTCCTGACTGGAGTTGTTTAATTTTCAAAGGACTGTTATTGGGTGGTAAAGTCCCGTATAACAAATACTGAAAAACTGTTTTCGCAATTCAGAAAATAATTCATTTTGAAAGCATGCTCGACAGAGTACTTCATTTTGAGTACCGAATTAGTCTTGCTTTACTTTTCGGATTTGTAAAAGGATACTCTTTTAATCATTTTAGTTGAACTCCATTAATTACAACCGAGACTTGATAACCATTCCGCTAAACGGAGAACATTGTAAATTTTCAATAAAATTATATTCAGCTTACTGAGTGTGGGCTTCATAGGAAACTGTATTATATGATATGACGTTATCGTTCTGAACATCTTAATTTATTGATAAAATATATGCAAGAAAGCGACGATGCTTTTCAACGACGAAAATTCCAGTTCATCGATGACTTATAGCACTCAATTGGCCAACTATTCGAAATATAGACTTGTGATTACTTATTTGTAAATGTATAACTACATTGTTTGCAGGCATTTCATTTTTGTAGTTCAAAAATCCTTCTTTATATCACAAATTCATGGAACTTCGACAATCCGGATACGTTAATTATTGCCTAGAAGTAAATCTTGATGAGGGAAAGTAGAGTAAGAGCTAAGTAAAATTCATGAGTGAATTCAATTTGTGGATTAGTATTACTAGTGAAAGTCACTATTAATGCTATTTAGGTTGCTTTTATATATCGGGAAAAAACGCTCATATTTTATCACCTCTTATTAAGTACCACTATCACGTTTGGAAAACAACCAATATCCAATTGTGCTTGAGTCTATGAATCTGGGGAATGCAGGTGAATCGCACCTTGAACTGTGTTAAACAACGACTAAGGGTGCAAATACACCTGAGTTGGAGGGTCAGCAGAGTTATAATGAAAGGAGATTAGATCTGGTGAGCTGGATGGGTGAGCATTAATCACAGTACTTATATTTCTAACTTAATTTTATGATTTTACATTAAAATGAGAAAAAGGATTTAGATGTTATAGTTAAATTTACTCACTAAACAGTTTCGAAAGTTCTCTTATTTCATGAAGATTCGCAACTAATACTAGTTGTTATTGATTTTATAATCAGAGTGCAGAAAAACAGTTATCTTCTTGACCTCGATTTATGTACTGACTTCAAATGATTTTTACAATAAATCTATATCCATTAATTTATGTACTTGCATAATTCACTTGATTTGATGACATAACATTTACATGCAACAGTTCAAGTGCACTATATCTCATGGTATTCGAGGTCTTCTGATTTACTTTAAACATATGTTAATTGTCAATTATTAATTTTTTAAAATATACCGATTGGATAATTATAAAATAAGAATATATTTGTAGGCATTCACTGTCTAACTACAAAGTAAACTGAACATTGATGTGGCGAGTTAATTACTCTTCAAAATACAGTAAAAAAGTGTTACGCAAATGAGTTTTTGGGATAAAAGTGAAATTTCAGTGGTAAAATATGTTCATTTGAATACCTGAGATCATGATAAGGTAAGATTTTTAAAACAATATTTCTTTGACTTTATTCAGGCTCTTGAAAGAGTTTGTTTAGTTGCAAATATTTATTTTACCAAAGAAAATTAAATTAATGACAGGATATGATGAAGTCATTGCATTTTCTTCTTTTGATAAAACTGGATATAATAGTGATTATAGTTGGTTGAAATTATTAACACAAAACATTTTCGAAGAGTTGTTTTCGTAGATCAATCAAATTTTTCAGAATGTAAACTTGTAACGAAGGCTGCAAATTGATGTGTTTGGATAGTTTATATGAATAAGTATGGTGATGGGTCAATACCTGACGTTTATATTCAAAAAAAGTCTATGATTAGTCTTTAACTGTTTTGGTAATATATAGAAAACTGTTAAGAACTTTATTTTCATCTTTTATTAAGACGTGATTATTGTTCATTCATTTAGATCTAATTTTCTTTCTTGGTTTTCTATATTCTTCGTAAATCGTTTGTTACATTAATTACTAATATTCTAGAATATTCACTATACTTATCCATCAAAATGATTTGAACACATGAATTCGGATCATTCATTACAAGTTTACATTTTGAGCAATTTTACAGATCTGTGAAAACAACTCTTTCCTAAGACTTCTATGTTAATAGTCTAAACAAATAGATTTATTATCTTATATGCTGTTAAAGAGAAAGCACAAAATATAGTAAACTCATAGCATCCTGTCGGTATTTTTATTATATCATTTTTTAAACGTTTTGGCGAAACTAATTGAACTGTTGTTTCCTTACAAACTAGTTTATTGGTACTCAGCATGTCTGAAAAGCGTTTGTAGTCATAATCTATTATTCCTAAGTGATAAACCTTAGTAATCATCAAATGAATGTATTAATATTTTCTATGCTTTCTATTTACTGTTTGTTTCTGTTGAAAAATATTAAACTTCCTAAAGCATATCAAACAAATATAGTGTGAGGCATTTTAAATAATGGTTATAAGGACTTGTGGTACTTTTATTTTGTTATGGCACTTAGTGAATGCCTAAAAAACACCTCAATGTATCACAGTTTACAAAACCAAGAAAAAATTTATCATAGTTGCTGGAAGGTTTGTTCTGTGTTTTTAGTTTTTCATACTCAATTTTCATTGAAAGGACATTGTTCCCTAGTTTGACGTAGTTGAAATAGTTAAGTTTTAATTGAGATGAATAAACAGTAAAATTTCCGTTCACATGAAGTATATTTTAAAGCTTCCTCATAAGATGACTTGTAGTATAAGACACTTCAAATAAATAGTTACTTTTTGTATTCACTCATGAATACAATTTGACTAAAGGACATGTAGAGATCTTCATTATAAGTATCTGTTTCTAAGAAAATATCTTTTGATCAAATGCTCAGTTGGAGTTACCATTACTGGGTTATAGAGCAGATATTGCAGCCCACTGGTTAAATATTCAGAAGTTTCGAGCGTAAAAATGTGTTCTGAAAATCACCTATTTATCTCAACATATATATATATATATATATATATATATATATATATATATATCAGACATAAATATGAAGGTTGTTAAACTATAACGAAACATTAACTTAACTGAAAATAATGATTAAGGAGAATAATCAGCGCTATAGACAACAACAGAGTTTTAAGACGAATAGATTTTAGTGTAAAGATTACTTCACATCTGGAAGTAATTCAGCTCAAACAATGTATAGAAATTCACACTTTCGTCATAGCTTTAAGGTGCGGGAAATGGAGCTTTTTTAAGTACATATACGATTCTATACTGATGGATAAATCAAAATAATGGTAATTTTATCTGCTTCATTTTGTAGTTGTCATATAAATTAGCACATTAAAACTTACATTAATTCTTTATGCACTGATTCTCTTCCTAAAACTATCTGTAGTTGATTAGAACCAATGAAAAATTAATGAATTTGTTTTATTCCGTAAATATTTTTCTGATTGTATTGTTTAAAATTACTGATCAAAGAATTATAATATATAAAAAATGTTGCTTTATGATTCTCAAAAAATTCATTAATGTAGAACACTAGATACCGAATAAATTTATATTAACCGAGAAATATGCATACAACACAAAAACGGTACTGTACTCAGAATCAGCCGACAACAGTCACAATTGATTCTTCTGTTAATGAAATGGAAAATGAAGACTGGAATAGATTTCTGGAAAATGACTTTACTAAATTTATGGGGATTACTTCACGGCAAAATTATCCATTTAACGATCAATCTATTATATATAATCCAAATGATACCAGTACTACTTCTAATATCATTAATAATAACAACATTCCTATCACATATAAAATGAATGATAATAATAAAAGTGGCAGTGTAAATAAAAATATTTTGGGACACGTCAAGGAGTTGCGAGAAAATTGTTCTAATGACAATAATCTAGAAATTACTCCCAATTGTGATTGCTCAGATAATGATCTATCATGGACAAAGGATGTTTTCAATTCAAAGCATTATACCACTAGCTCTCTTGCTTTGACAAGTGGATTTATCAATGACACAAAAATACAAAATAATCATCCAGTCAGTAGTGAATTTATTTCTGGTGAAGATTATCAACAATCTAACTATCTCTATGATCAACATTTTAATTCTGCACCTGTACAATTATGTTCACAAACTGATTATTCTGTAATGAGAACTGTGAATTATCCTTATATTATTAATAACGAACATCCACATTATCTTAGTGAGTACATTCAATCAAGTGACACAGAGTATTCAAATTATCATAATAATCTTCATATGGATTTAAGATCAAATGTCTCTGATTTTACCGATACTAGTATTGCTAGTGATCCAGATTATCAGAACCAAATCGAATCAAAAGCAAAGTCATCATTCATGTTTTTAAATGATCACTTATGTGCACCACAAGCACCAACCATAGAAAATTTAAAGTCATGTAATCCTTTGAGCCAGGAAGATTCCTTTGAGAATGGATGGCTTGATGGTCAAAACAGAACACATTATTGTGCTAACTGGTCAGTCGATTGGACAAATAATACTGAGTCAAATAGTCGACCAAACTATCACTCATGTAATTCAAAGCATATTCCTATAAACTTTGACAGTTTCCGATGTCTAGGTAAGTAAAAGTAATCATACTTGCTTTTAAACTCTAAATGAATTTTCCGTATTTCACGTTTAAGGTAACTTTTATTCAGTTATTATAGTTATTAATAGTGAGTTGCAGATAACTATCACTGCTATGTCATTATTGTAATACAAAGACGATGATGAAGAATTTAGTGGTTGAAAAAGTTTCTGCTAGGTGAAAATTAGGGTTACTTTACGAGTTGTCTAAAATGCTTTCTAAATATATTAATAATTACTATGTATGCCAATAAAAGTATTTCATGCATACAGTTCCTGGTATTATCATGAAAAAATCTAGAGAAACTACTGGAATAGAAGATTATAAATCTGCTATATTTTATTTGATTATAAATTAGCTTTCTAATGAAAACATCTTATTAGTATTAGTTTTACAAATGGACCTTCATATGTAATATACATCATATTTAATGAAAAAAAACAGCACCTATAATTTGAGTATATCTCTTCCCTGTGTTCGTTTATCTACATCCAATGATGATTAGTCACCACAATAAAGAAAGCACATTATCCAAAGTCGCTAATATCCCAGTGAAATTAAATTTTAAGTTTAGTCTCAAATTGTGGTGTAGATAATTCATTTTTGTATTGCTTTTATGAATCTTCCCATTGCACTCCTAAACATCAATGAAACGATTCAAACAACCGATACAAAAATGCATTAAAATTCCACCCACTTGCATAAGCTAGTGACCATCTGGACTTAGTAGCTAAGTGGATAACGAGATGGCATTTGAAGAGAATGGTAGTGGGTTTGGGTGCCGGAATCAACACTAACTCCAGGACTCAGGCACATCCATATCACGAGTCTCAAATAGGACGAAACGCGTGTCCTGGATTCCACTGCTAGCCACTATCCATCCTTCTTTATAATGCGGCTGGTGTAGGTACTCCGAATGTATCAAAAAAGACATATTGTAATGAGCGATCTGAGTTTTAAGGGTTGAAGCATGCTCAAACAAGTAAACGCGTTACAATAGTTAAAAACGTTTTGTAACAGTTACAGTGCCTGTAAAGTCTTAAAATATTTATCTTGGCAAATTGTAGTAGCACAATCTGCAGTAAAAGATCAAGAATACTACATATGCTTTGCATGTTGTGGTACTTGTAAACCTTTTCTGTAATGAAAAATGGAGAAGTGATAAACCCATGTCAATTTTTGAGATTATAGTCTGATATGTAGGTTAGATTAATTAATAATTTTCATATGTATGCTCGCTGCTTAAGACTGCATGACTATTAACGGTGATATATGCCAATAATATTTTGTCTTTTCATGTGTTTGCGAATCTGATTACCATAATGATTTGTAAGTAAACATGTAAATCCCTGGTTAATGAATAGTAAAAATGATTCAAATGAACTTTTTGAATGGAATATTTTTAATAAAACACTAATTTAACGTTATGGGAACATCTTCATCAAAGTAACTTCCACTGACAATAATCATTTTATTCTTTAGTTGACTATAGAAGTTAAAACGAACGTTTAACTGTTTTTCCGTGGATAATTACTAAAATAGCACACCCGTTTATATGATAAACTGATCACTTTCAATGATTGAAGCATGTTTTCTAGCTCGTAAAATCGGATAGTTCAGTCCTTCCTCTAACATGACATTTGTGAAACCAAAGATCTTAGACAATGTTCACCAAAATCGTTCCATAAATATTTTTCAAACATAAGCTATTTATTTTATATATAATACAAAAAGCTTGCGCAGTAGGCACCAATAAACGATTTACATAAACAGAGCTGTTGTCTATTATCAAATACTCGTGTTGCTAAGATAATAAATCTCTTTTCTATAAAAGCTACAATGCAGTATATGAAGAAAACATAGGACACGTCTTTACAGAGTAATGATAGCTAATTTACTCTTCATTTTTGATGCTTTAGTTATTTAAATCTTTCCGTTGCTTGACGTTTTAGGTGTTTAAAGGAATTGATACCATTTTGAGTTATTTTTAGTATTGTAAACATTTTGGGTTAACCAAAGTCGAACGAGTTTTATTTTGTTACATAATCAATATCATTCATTCATTCCCTTTTCGATTAATGATTTCATACATTTACTTTCGTCCTAAAATATCAAAATATGTATGCTCGCTTTGTGTATTAGAGATGGAGCTGACAAATGAACCATGATCTCCTTCGATTAAGGTTTGATTAGTTCTTCTTTCAACCAAATATTTTAAAGGTCCTGTTCCAGTTCTCAGTTCAACTTTTAAAATGGATTGACCTTCTGACTTCTCTCTAGTAAATAAGATTTAATTTGTGTTTGTATCATATGTGTATGGGATTATTGATCAAAATGTTAACTCAATCTTGTGTTTTAAAAGGTCTGGTATTCTGTTGAGAAATTTATTTTTGTTTCCTTCTGGGATTATGTTTGTTGATTACTGCTATGGAATCGGGTTTCAAGCATTTTCTATGCTTTCGTTTTACATGAAGCTCCTTTGAGTGTGACACCTAAACTAAAATCTCTAAATCTGGTTTTAAAAACTTGCAATTAGAAAACGAAAATTCACTCAAAATTGAATCAGATAGAAGAAATATACATTTATTATCAAATTTTGGGTTACATTAAAATGCGAATTCAGGTGATAGTTCAGTCCACTTAAGTCTTCTATCAATTGAATAGTAATTAGTTATATTTAATGAAAAAAGGTTTAAGAAAAAAATATTTTTCTAACAGTATTATGATCATGAACTTCTAAAATGTGTAAATTGTTTACACTCTAATAGGCGAACGAGGACATATAATTCATTACTTTTATTTATCCAAACATAGTTTGTTGATTGTATAGCAGTTACACCTATATGGAGAAAGCGTAATTATTTTGATCTTTAGATTTGTCACAGTAGTTGAATATGGATATTGTCAGTTGTTTAACAGTTTATTGTTTATTTGTATCACTAATGAATTTTAATTTAATGTTTACTGACATTATCGTTGGTAAATATTTAATGGTAATGGCTGTTGTTTTGTGTTAAATGGTTACATGTTGAGTGTCTCATTTTAAATAAAACAGTTAAACGTTCATGTATAGCTTTTTGTTCCTACTGCATTACACAAGCTAAAAGCTATGGCATATTTTTAATTTTTTTCAAAGGCGCCACTTCTTATTTCGATGCTAGAAATTCGAATTGTAAAAAAGACTGTCTAGTTACAAAGAATAGTGAATCGGTTGACCATCCACATAAAGGAGCGCCAAACATATCTAGTAATCACCAGTTTGATTCAGGACCCAAACTGTGTAACGAATTTGATAGTTCCTTATCTCCACAAACAGAGTCAACGAAACTATGCAATGTTACTTCTAGTAAGTTTTTACAAAACGTTTCAAATTTTATTATATTAATTACTAAATAGTGTCTGAAAACCTCAAAAAACCAATGTTAATAAACTTTATGTCTTTTGATTTTATGTCATCAAAATGACGATAATTTTTACTCGAGTTCAGTAGAAAGGTATCTGAAAAATATTGTATTATAGTAATGATGTTAGTGAAGCTGCTTGACTTCGACAGATGCCCTGGTTAATCAGATGGATATAATGCTATCACCAGTTGTTCCTCGTAATTAGAAGTGATCATCTTTATATATGGTATCTTTTTTCTTTGAGATATTTGTGGTCTTAGTAGCAGTTTTACAATAGAACTGAATTATTTTGACTGTACTTCTAATCATAACCTAATAGTAATAATATTTGTTTCGAGCTTTTTATTAAAATTAACTTTGGTTACTGAATCGTCTAACAGTTTACAATTTATAAGTCCGTAAAAATGTCTTCATTTTATAGTTTTTTTTAAGTATCAGAATTCAAAAATCATATTACGAAATTCTATGTCATAGTAATAGATTCTCACTAGACCCAGCATTCTATCTTTAAATAGGCGAACAAATAAATTTTCCTCATAGGATATTAAATTATTCAATCAGTTCACAAGGCTTACCAATATAAAATTGTAGATATTCATAACCCCTATTTTACGGACAACCAGTGCTTGATTTCATGTACGAATAAGCTTTTAAATTATCAAGATTTATCAGCTAATAGCCTTCACGATAGAAGAACAAACATCTACACCTTTAATTCAATTAATCTTTTGAATAATTATATACGAATGTACAGGTTTTATAAATAATATTGTTAAAAAGAAATTCATTTCGCTGATCTTCACTTTTTCTAATTAATTATGTGCTCAGTTATAAGTTATCTTAAGTCATACAATTTATTCTTTTTATGATGATAGTCTGAGATCATGTAGAGCTTGGAACTATTTAACATAATTTTTTCTGAGATAACAAATAAAACTTTAATACCAACTAAAAGTTATCATTATCGTTATTATTATTCGTATATTGGTATTAAAAATGTACCGAGTAATACTTCTCAATGCTAGGTGCCAATAAAAAATAAGTATGATCCATGAAATAAGCAATTGTATTACTATATCAGTTCCCAAAAATAAATATTGTTACATTTTATTCCTTATTAGGTCTTACACTTTTACAGTTTGTGCTTGAAGCATTCAGAGAGATCATGGCTTAGTAATTAAGTATATTTTAAACAAGTGTTTTTATTTTCTTGTTAACAATACGTTATCTCTTATTTGACAAGTTAATGAATTTTCTCCAAATCCCTGTACTAAAATATATTGGGTAATGGTGATTCAAAACCTACTAGTAACAGTTATGTTCACAGACACAGGTTTCCATTTTTTCCATTGTTTTTGAATTCGCTGCGGAGATTTTTGTGGGGCCCGTAATTTCGTCGTCATTTAGATCGAATGTTGTCGAAAGGGCTCTCCACTTTAGTGGCCCGGGTTCTGATGCCAAGGTGATTGTATTGATGATTGTTGTTGAAATATATATGTCACCTATCCTCGTATATAATCATCGACTTAAGTCACGTTAGTCAATAACGGGATTAAATAAGTCGAATAAAGAGAATGGAGTTGTGAATACATATATTCTGTATATAAAGTGAATGGAATAGAACGAAGCAAAACGATGCGCAGTGGAGATGGCGGGTAAGCCAACTCCCATTTAGCCAAGCGTTAATGAATATTTATAGGCACACAAAAATAAATTACAGGCATGTGGTGAGTAATGGGATAAGAACTGTACACACACCTACGCCCTCATCAGTCAAGACTGATAAACGAATAAATAACAAGGTCAGAATGTAACTCGAATAGAATGAATAGAATGGGATGTCCGAAAGCTAGAATAAGGTATATGGGCTTAACATAATAACCGACACTACAAGTTAATGTAATTTTTAGCTAAACGCAAAATAGTAATTAGTTGAAACTTCACAAACATGTTCTTTTATAGTTTATTTATTAACTTACGATGCAATTAAATATTATCAGATTTATCAGTTTGGGTGCTGTGGAGATTGTTAAGTTCTTGATTGAAATCATGAGTCAATTGAAGCTAGACCACCATGGAAAACCTGGAATCACTGGACGGCCGTTTCGTCCTAGTCTGGGACTCCTCAGCAGTGCGCACCCACGATCCCGCATTCCGCGAGACTCGAACCCAGGACTTATCAGTCTCACGCCAGGCGCTTAACCAACTAGACCATTGAGCCAGCATCCAATGGTGTCAATGTCTAATCTCAACCAATCCACGAAATTGCGCGATCAACTTCCATTGTACTACGGTAGACACCTGTTTCTACCCGACACGGATTAGCTCCACTAATCATGGCTATACTATATATTTTCAAAATAGCCTATCCCTGAAAATAGTGAAAAATTGCCCTACTTTTGTATTCAAATACTACGTTACATAATTTAATAATAAATAAATTTAACTTTTCACGTAACTTTATCATGGATTAAAATTTGTCGGTATATATATATTGGTTGCTATCATAATGAATCGAAAAGTATCACAAAATAAATTGATGGTCAACTTTCTTTCTTAACTTGTTATTTTCTTATAGTAAGTAAATTTGTGCAATAATCGTTTATTCATATAGTTAAGGGTAATTAATACAAAAGATATGTAAATATTTCGAAGTAAAATCTACTAGTAGCAATTGAGTATTTAAGTGTAAATCTTTACGAATTAATTTTGAGGATTTCAAAACCAATGATAACGAACTGAATAACTGCTGTCTACTGAAAGTTTTACTTAGGGTGCTATACAAAGGAATCGTGAATATGTAGAAATGATTGAAAATCGATGCTTACCAACCTAATTGATACAACATAAATGATGAAAAACGCTGAGTTTTAAAATAATTTCTAATTTTTCCAAAATAATACGTTTTATGAAAATGGTATTTTCCTCTTCAATTGACATCATTTGCTTACACGATCTAGTTCAAAATGACTGACATTTGGTAGAATGTTCTCAAACTATTTTACTTTACCAGACAAATAAAGAAACAATTTTACAGTAAAGAGAGGTGGTGGCTAGCGGCGGAATCCAAGACGCGCGCTTCATCCTATTCGGGACTCGTCAGCTGGATATATCTGCATCGCAGAGTTGGTGTTCGCTCCGGGACATGAACCGAGTACCGGATAGGACGGAACGCGCGTCCAGGATTTTACTGCTAGCTACCATCCATCTTTGCTTATAATACTTGTGACTTAAGGCAGTATCGACGCAATCTACACAGGGTGCACATTTGCCGAGAAGAGACTGATCAATTACAGCTCTAAAGATCAACTATAAGAATCAAATAAAACAACACAAAATAAATTCAAAGAAATAGTGTATTTACGTCTGAACTGTTGGAGTCCACTACACAACTCACACAACAGTAGTCTTTATGTTAAATGTTTATATTCTCTCACAAATATGTCAGTTTCGGTACCTAAAGTTCTTATTTTCATTTAATGCATCAACTAATTTTATTCCTATTCATGTTTGATTTGTTCGAAATGGAACCTGATTTCGATGTGCTGACGATGTTGTTCAGAAGAACGACCAAACCACCCAGCTCAGAGAACAAAACTCCATCAAAAAAACTATTTATAAATTTTTACATGATCTGAAATTGTTTTGAAAAAGTTAACCACTTTCCATCTGAAATAATCAATGAAGTATGATTTTCTTACAATTCTCTAAGAATTAGTTACATTCAATAATCATGATACGTTTTAGAGCAAAACGATTGGTACTTATTGTATAGGATGACTGCATTACTGAACAACACTATCATAGTCAATATTTCTTCAACTATTTTTAATCTTTAGCTTTAACTTTTAATAATGTTTGAAGATCATAATTCATTTTTAAAGCACTTTCTGTCTTCAAATGTCCAAAGACTTTAATCAGTTATTTAGTTAACAGATTGATACTTTAATTCTGACACCTTTCTCTGCAATTTTATTGATTAAATAATAATTAAGAGAAGCTGAACACATAACTTGATATCCTCGCTAATTATTTCAGATGAAATTGCTTTATAAATATATGTTCATGTAAAATTGAAATACCTCTTATAGAAATATATTTTTGTCGAAGTTCATTTAAATACTTTGTATCCTAAAAAGAATACTGCAAATAATAAAGGATCGTGCTATTACTTTAACAGTTTTTTTCTTTATGATAATTTAACTCCATGAAAGGCTTTCATGATTCCTCAAATATTTCACTTAAGTTTACATAGGCTAATAAAGTTATGTTTTGTTCATTTTATAGGCAACTAATAATTTAATGATAGACACTTTTTTATAATAAAACTTGTTTAGTTGAAATTTAAAACCAATTAATTCTTTTTTCTTAATAGCAGTGGGTCTACTATGATTATAGAGGTTTGTAAATAATTTGACACGTATGAAGTATCAGTGTTAATGAAAACCTTCTGAAAAATCTTAAGAAAATTTCCTAAAATATAATCAAGTATTTTCAAGTTATACAGTAATAAAAATGTTGAACGTTACATCATTGTATCCAGCACTATTTAATCACTATAGTAAAGCGTGAGAAATATTCTAGTTTTAACACATGTTACCAACTTAATGACTGAATGCTTTATGAATCTCAAAGCATATTATTAAATATGTAATTTAACTGTAAAAAATGTTACTATAACATGCATTATTAGTACATGTTTAGTACACATTATTAGTATATTCTAGTGATCAAGAAAAATTCGATATTATCCAGATTGTTCTCAAGTCACTTTCAGCTTTTTTGTCTGAGATGTCAAATTAACAAAATCTGCTAATCACTAGACGGATAATCACTTTTTGTGAAACGCATGTTGAAAGTGGTTTTTTATGAGTATTTTAGACAGTTTACTTTAGTATGACTAATGAAAAAATATAGGATAGATGACTGTTTTAGGTTGCCT